GTGACGCACTTAACAGCTACTGTTGGAGTGAACGTCAGAGATGCACTTTAACAGCTACTGTTGGGGTGAACATCAGTGATGCACTTTAACAGTTACTGTTGGAGTGAACATCAGTGACGCACTTTAAAAAGTTACTGTTGGAGTGAACATCAGAGATGCACTTTAACAGCTACTGTTGGAGTGAACATCAGTGATGCACTTTAACAGCTACTGTTGGAGTGAACGTCAGAGATGCACTTTAACAGCTACTGTTGGAGTGAACATCAGTGATGCACTTTAACAGCTACTGTTGGAGTGAACATCAGTGACGCACTTTAACAGTTACTGTTGGAGTGAACATCAGAGATGCACTTTAAAAAGCTACTGTTGGAGTGAACATCAGTGAGCACTTTAACAGCTACTCTTGGAGTGAACATCAGTGACGCACTTTAACAGTTACTGTTGGAGTGAACATCAGTGATGCACTTTAACAGCTACTGTTGGAGTGAACGTCAGAGATGCACTTAACAGCTACTGTTGGAGTGAACATCAGAGATGCACTTTAACAGCTACTGTTGGAGTGAACATCAGTGATGCACTTTAACAGTTACTGTTGGAGTGAACATCAGAGATGCACTTTAACAGCTACTGTTGGAGTGAACATCAGTGATGCACTTTAACAGTTACTGTTGGAGTGAACATCAGTGACGCACTTTAACAGTTACTGTTGTAGTGAACATCAGTGATGCACATAACAGCTACTGTTGGAGTGAACATCATTGATGCACTTTAACAGTTACTGTTGGAGCGAACATCAGTGATGCACTTTAACAGCTACTGTTGGAGTGAACGTCAGAGATGCACTTTAACAGCTACTGTTGGAGTGAACATCAGTGACGCACTTTAACAGTTACTGTTGGAGTGAACATCAGTGACGCACTTTAACAGCTACTGTTGGAGTGAACGTCAGAGATGCACTTTAACAGCTACTGTTGGAGTGAACATCAGTGATGCACTTTAACAGTTACTGTTGGAGTGAACATCAGTGACGCACTTTAACAGTTACTGTTGGAGTGAACATCAGAGATGCACTTTAACAGCTACTGTTGGAGTGAACATCAGTGATGCACTTTAACAGCTACTGTTGGAGTGAACGTCAGAGATGCACTTTAACAGCTACTGTTGGAGTGAACATCAGTGATGCACTTTAACAGCTACTGTTAGGGTGAACATCAGTGACGCACTTTAACAGCTACTGTTGGAGTGAAAATCAGTGACGTACTTTAACAGTTACTGTTGGAGTGAACATCAGTGATGCACTTTAACAGTTACTGTTGGAGTGAACATCAGTGATGCACTTTAACAGCTACTCTTGGAGTGAACATCAGTGACGCACTTTAACAGTTACTGTTGGAGTGAACATCAGTGATGCACTTTAACAGCTACTGTTGGAGTGAACATCAGTGAATGCACTTTAAACAGCTACTCTTGGAGTGAACATCAGTGACGCACTTTAACAGTTACTGTTGGAGTGAACATCAGTGATGCACTTTAACAGCTACTGTTGGAGTGAACGTCAGAGATGCACTTAACAGCTACTGTTGGAGTGAACATCAGAGATGCACTTTAACAGCTACTGTTGGAGTGAACATCAGTGATGCACTTTAACAGTTACTGTTGGAGTGAACATCAGAGATGCACTTTAACAGCTACTGTTGGAGTGAACATCAGTGATGCACTTTAACAGTTACTGTTGGAGTGAACATCAGTGACGCACTTTAACAGTTACTGTTGGAGTGAACATCAGAGATGCACTTTAACAGCTACTGTTGGAGTGAACATCAGTGATGCACTTTAACAGCTACTGTTGGAGTGAACATCAGTGACGCACGTTAACAGTTACTGTTGGAGTGAACATCAGAGATGCACTTTAACAGCTACTGTTAGGGTGAACATCAGTGACGCACTTTAACAGCTACTGTTGGGATGAAAATCAGTGACGTACTTTAACAGTTACTGTTGGGAGTGAACATCAGTGATGCACTTTAACAGTTACTGTTGGAGTGAACATCAGTGATGCACTTTAACAGCTACTCTTGGAGTGAACATCAGTGACGCACTTTAACAGTTACTGTTGGAGTGAACATCAGTGATGCACTTTAACAGCTAAATGTTGGAGTGAACGTCAGAGATGCACTTAACAGCTACTGTTGGAGTGAACATCAGAGATGCACTTTAACAGCTACTGTTGGAGTGAACATCAGTGATGCACTTTAACAGTTTTCTGTTGGAGTGAACATCAGAGATGCACTTTAACAGCTACTGTTGGAGTGAACATCAGTGATGCACTTTAACAGTTACTGTTGGAGTGAACATCAGTGACGCACTTTAACAGTTACTGTTGGAGTGAACATCAGAGATGCACTTTAACAGCTACTGTTGAAGTGAACATCAGTGATGCACTTTAACAGCTACTGTTGGAGTGAACATCAGTGATGCACTTTAACAGCTACTGTTGGAGTGAACATCAGTGACGCACGTTAACAGTTACTGTTGGAGTGAACATCAGAGATGCACTTTAACAGCTACTGTTAGGGTGAACATCAGTGACGCACTTTAACAGCTACTGTTGGAGTGAAAATCAGTGACGTACTTTAACAGTTACTGTTGGAGTGAACATCAGTGATGCACTTTAACAGTTACTGTTGGAGTGAACATCAGTGATGCACTTTAACAGTTACTGTTGGAGTGAACATCAGTGATGCACTTTAACAGTTACTGTTGGAGTGAACATCAATGACGCACTTTAACAGTTACTGTTGGAGTGAACATCAGAGATGCACTTTAACAGCTACTGTTGAAGTGAACATCAGTGATGCACTTTAACAGCTACTGTTGGAGTGAACATCAGAGATGCACTTTAACAGCTGCTGTTAGGGTGAACATCAGTGACGCACTTTAACAGCTACTGTTGAAGTGAACATCAGTGACGCACTTTAACAGCTACTGTTGGAGTGAACATCAGTGATGCACTTTAACAGGTACTGTTGGAGTGAACATCAGTAACGCACTTTAACAGCTACTGTTGGAGTGAACATCAGTGATGCACTTTAACAGCTACTGTTGGAGTGAACATCAGTGATGCACTTTAACAGCTACTGTTGGAGTGAACATCAGTGACGCACTTTAACAGCTATTGTTGGAGTGAACATCAGTGATGCACTTTAACAGCTACTGTTGGAGTGAACATCATTGATGCACTTTAACAGCTACTGTTGGAGTGAAGATCATTGATGCACTTTAACAGTTACTGTTGGAGTGAACATCAGTGACGCACTTTAACAGCTACTGTTGGAGTGAAAATCAGTGACGTACTTTAACAGTTACTGTTGGAGTGAACATCAGTGATGCACTTTAACAGTTACTGTTGAAGTGAACATCAGTGATGCACTTTAACAGTTACTGTTGGAGTGAACATCAGTGATGCACTTTAACAGTTACTGTTGGAGTGAACATCAATGACGCACTTTAACAGTTACTGTTGGAGTGAACATCAGTGACGCACTTTAACAGTTACTGTTGGAGTGAACATCAGTGACGCACTTTAACAGTTACTGTTGGAGTGAACATCAATGACGCACATTAACAGCTACTACTGAACGGAACACTAATGACGCACATTAACAGCTACTACTGAACGGAACACTAATGACGCACATTAACAGCTACTGCTGAACGGAACACTAGAGACGCACATTAACAGCTACTGCTGAACAGAACACTAGAGACGCACATTAACAGCTACTGCTGAACGGAAACATAGAGACGCACATTAACAGCTACTGCTGAACAGAACACTAGAGACGCACATTAACAGCTACTGCTGAACGGAACACTAGAGACGCACATTAACAGCTACTGCTGAACGGAACACTAGAGACGCACATTAACAGCTACTGCTGAACGGAACACTAGAGACGCACATTAACAGCTACTGCTGAACGGAACACTAGAGACGCACATTAACAGCTACTACTGAACGGAACACTAGAGACGCACATTAACAGCTGCTACTGAACGGAACACTAGAGAAGCACATTAACAGCTACTACTGAACGGAACACTAGAGACGCACATTAGCAGCTACTACTGAACGGAACACTAGAGGCGTACATTAACAGCTACTGCTGAACGGAACACTAGAGGCGTACATTTTCGCTGTATTTCATGGTCATTCACACTGCGCATTGCTGGACAGGTGGTCAGGCCACCAGGCATTAGCTTCTTTTAGTCAAAAGTAAAGCCTGTTGTTGTTGACTCAAATGTAAGTTTATTTAGATACAGATGCGCATAAATACAGTTACACAAATTATCATACATAGTTGCATATGTGTCAGTTGGTAATATATACCGGTAAATTTGTTGAGAAAGACACATGAGCAAACACTAGGACACATTTTCAGGAGCTTGCAATGTTGCAGAAATTAATAGGAAGACCAGGTTGATCCGCTCAAGGAAACGTTTCTCGCTCGAGCAAAAAACGTTCCCCTGAGTGAATTTGCTTGGACTTCTTCCTCATTTATGCAACACTGCAAGCTCCTGATATGTTGATTGCAACACAAAAGGCCTAGAGCTATCATTCCTCTCCCCCCCCCTCCCGTGGTTGTTTTGCATATTATCCTATCCTAGGTAATCTACACATATGTTGCCATGTGTGATAATTTATGGAATTGTATTTATGTGTACCTGTACCTGAATAAGCTTACTTACTTGCTTAATAAACTTACTTGATTAAGTCAATGTATGTTTCTCTGAGGCCCTGGAGGCAGGGTTCATTAAGGTGTAATCTTCGGCGTCCTTTAATAACCCAGGGTTCATTAAGGCGTAATCTTTAGCGTCCTTTAATAAGTAAGTAAGTAAGTAAGTTAGCATGTTTATTCAGGTATACACAAATACAGTTACATTGATTATCATACATAGCAACATATGTGCAGAGAACCTAGAATAACCCAACAAAGTCAGACAGAGTGACTTATTTCCATTGGGGTTCATTAAGGCGTAATCTTTAGCGACCTTTAATAACCCCAACAACAACACCGGTGGTACAATAATATTTTTAATAGTAATTATACTGTCACGTTATGGCCTATGATCTGAAAAAAGAAGAAGACGTGAAGGAATTTATTGAAAACCTCGGGATAGAATACAGGTTTGGATGTTTCTCCGAGAAGAAGCCTGATAGTAAGTGTAACCTGGGCGCTAAACCCGTACGGGCCTCCAGTTTTTTTTTTTGCTTGGGTATTCCCCCCCATCAAGGAAGGTTCCTTATATTGGTGAGAGGCTCTTGATCCAAGGAGCTGATGTTAGTTATGATTTTCCTTGGATCGAAGCTCATTGCCTTCCATTTCCCAGGTTATGACCCCTACAGGTTTAGCACTTACCCCTTAGTATAATTCAGATAATTTTATTATGTATTGCTGTTATTTTTTTATTTAGGCCTTATGTACAATTACAAACTTTTAAGAAAATTGAATTTGGTAAATTGTGTAGATTTAACCTTGAATATTATTATTATTATTATTATTATTATTATTATTATTATTATTATTACATAGGAGGGATAGATAAACCCATATTGGTCATATAGCTCTTAGGGGATGGGAAGCAATCAGGTTTGATCCATGGAAGAGGAGGTTAGCTTCACTTCCTTTGACCAAGAGCACTTCACTGGCATCAGTTCATCTTCTCGAGGGATAACCAGAGATAACCTGATGAACTCAAACAAGAGTTTTAGTGGTCTTGAGGACACATTATTAACATACAAAATAATACATTATGTAAATTTAAGTGAAGTCAAACAGATTTTTTTTAGATTTTGCCACCGAAGTGGCTAGTTTATTGTGCACCCCATATCCATCCTGTGGACGGTAGCGCGAGAGCATATGGATACACAAAAGGCCTAGGAACTAGGCCCCAAAGGGTTAACAGGAATACATATGGATTTATATCTACATATCTATAGTTCACTTATCTGTTACAAGCAAATTTAGGAAATTTGCTTAGTATATCTGGTATCTTATTTTCATTAATAAGATATCTTGACATGTCACATAGGTTATTATACTGTCTGTCTCTGTATTCCTCAATAAGTGGACAATTAAGCACATAGTGCTCAAGAGAGTGACCATATGCCTGATCACATAATTTACATTTAGTTTGATCATCATCTGTGTGTCTCCCAAACTGCCAGAAGTACTTGTAACCAAGCCTAAGCCTGGCCACTACAACATCAGTCAGTCTGTTCACATTGCAAGTTGCTCCATAAACATACTTATCTACATTCATGTTATCATAGTGGGTTATAGATCTACTCAGGCTTCTAACTGCATTCCTATAACAATCATTTTCATTATTTACTTCTCTCCTAATATTATTCCTAATGCTAGACACAGTTATACCAAAGTTTATTCTACATTCTCCTTCTCGATACTCTTCTTGGCTAACATATCAACTTTATCATGAAGGAGTAATCCAATGTGTGATGGGATCCATAGCAATTGTACATTAATTCCTTTGTCCCTAATTTTTGAGTATCTATACCTGGCTTCCCCAATGAGCATGTTGTTGGAGTCATTATATGAGCCAAGAGCCTTCAATGATGACATAGAATCAGTAATGATGATAGAGTCAAGCTCAGTGTCATAGGTTAGCTTTAGCGCCATTAGGATTGCAAACAATTCAGTTTGCAGTGTAGATGCCCAGTTGTTAATTCTTATGCCTAACTCAACAAATTTATTATCGTTCTTAACTAGGGAGGTGGCTTATTTCCATGGGGATTCCTCATTGAGGTCACTAAATATAATAATATAATTTATCTTTGTCATATTCCATCAATTATTATTATTATTATTATTATAATTATAACTAAGGGCTAAACCCACAAGGGCCACACAGTGTCGATATTCCATCACAGAATATAAATAAATCATATTATAGCACAATTTTTCTATATTATGTATCCTGAGTTAAATGTATTTATTACCACTGTCAGTTATTAAAGAAATTAAGTATATTTTGTGTGCAGAACTGATTGCATATGTTGAGTACTGGTATACAGTAAATCACATATAGAATTACTGATTAAAGATTTGCATATATGTAATGAACCTGCATAGAGCAGCAAAAATATGTAATGTTCATTTATTTGATTGGTTTACCTCAAACTTCAAATTTATCTTGATTGGCTATCAGAATACAGTATTGCAATAATATTCTCTGTCAAGTACAAATTATAGTGCAGCGATAGTGCATCTGGCTGACAGCTGGAAGACCCTGGGTGTAATCCTCAGGTGACATGAGATATATGGGCAAATCTTCACATACTGTCTGTTCACCCAGCGTTAATTAGGTATAATACCTAGGTAATAAATAACAAAAAAGGCACAATACCGTGACTGGAACGATACACAAATAACCCGCACATAAAATAGAGAAGCTTACGACGACGTTTCGGTCCGACTTGGACCATTTAAAAAGTCACTTTGTAAATGGTCCAAGTCGGACCGAAATGTCGTTATAATACCTAGGTGTTTGCCAACTGTTGTGGGTTGCATGATAGAAAAGAGGCTCAGAGATTTCTACTGAAATAATCATATTACTGTGCTTTCTTGGATTATGTAAAGTAAGATCTTAACAAATGCTTGAGTTTGAATGAATAATATACTTACACTGATAGAGGCTCGCTCTTAGTAAATTTTTACTTACAGTATTTTGCATCATATAAAAAGACAATGTAGTATATGGTATCATTTGAAACATTGCTCAGATGTATTACTACCATATTACTCTGTGTTTATCTGAAGCAATAATTCTGTGTGAGTCATGCAAGTCATTCAACACAAGGAATATCCTTGTGGAGGCTTTATCCTCAGTCTGATAAATCAGCATTACCTGTACCACTACTATTTCACTTCCTTCTTTCTTCCTCTCTTTGTCCCATCCTTGTCCCCCTTTCCTATGTATACTGGCTCCCTCACCTTCATGTGTTTGTGTGACTTGTCAATGGTCCAGGTCAAACTGAAACATCGTCATAAGCTTCTTTCTCTTATGTATGGGTTATTTGTGTATTGAATCGTGGGACTTTCTGTCTGTCTGTAACCTACAGACACTGGGACTGAAAAGAGCTTGTGTGAGATGTTGTGTGCATGCTGAGAATCCTTTTAAATGCTGTACTGGCAAGAGTATATGTAAATTAAATGTCATTACTAAAACATTGGTATTTTCTAGGTTGTCATCTCTTAGGGGACTATCTAGAAGGTGTGAAGAGAGACTTTGCGAAAGCTGCAAAAGTGTATAGAAGCAATTGTGATGAATCTTCATATGCCAAGAGTTGTTACAAGTATGCAAATTATAATTTTTTGGGTAAAGGCTGCAAGCAGAACATGGATGAAGCATATGACTATTATCTGAAGGGATGCTCAGCGGGTAACGCTGATTCTTGTCTCAATGGTGGACTCTTGTGTGTGTCTAATACACCAGTTAATGCCCAGAGAGAAAAAGATTATAAACAGGTATGTATGTGATATATAATGCATTAACAATTTTGTGTACTGTATAATAGAATTATTGTTAATTATTCTGGTAAAAGTGTCTTCTTCTCTTTTTTAGTAAGTGTCTACAGGAGAAGGGGTTACTAGCCCATCGCTCCCGAAGTACAGTGCCTGCACTCTGAAGGAGGGGTGTTAATGTTGCAGTTTAAAAACTGTAGTGTAAAGCACCCTTCTGGCAAGACAGTGATGGAGTGAATGATGGTGAAAGTTTTTCTTTTTCGGGCCACCCTGCCTTGGTGGGAATCGGCCAGTGTGTTAATAATAATAATAAAAAAATTCTGATAAAAGTTGAAATAGTGTATACTAGTACAGCCTTTCTTCACTTAGCAACGTACTCATTTACCTACAACTTGGACTTACGACGGGCTCCCCAACCAGTATGTATAATAATAATAAAAATAAGAATAATAATGACATCTTTATTTACTACAAGTACATGTACAAGGTATACAGGCCTAGCTGACAGCAATGACATACTACTATATAGAAAGCCCCTTGTTATGCAGAGCATTTCGGGCAGATTAGGTCAGCTTTGTCCCAGGATGCGACTCACACCAGTCGATTAACACCCAGGTACCCATTTTACTGATGGGTGAATATAGACAACCAGTGTAAGGAAACACATCCGATGTTTCCACCCCTTTGGCGGGAATCGAACCCGAACCCTCACTGTGTGAAGCGAGAGCTTTTGCCACCAGGCACAGGGCACCTAAATAATGTATATTAGAGCTTATTTCCTCTATTCTGTCTATTACAGTATACAGTACACTACTGTATAAACATTTAAAAGTATACTAAAAACTTTATAAATGGTGCAAAGGTGATATTAAAACAATATCAAAGATAGTTGACACAAACCCACTACCATTATAGTATGCTCCACGTTTAGTGACGAATTTGTTTACTAATGTATGTATGCTCCACAGTCAGCCCTCCTGGCCCTATATCACTCTCTTATTTACCCCTATCTCACCTATGGAATTTGTGCATGGGGCTCAACAACAAGTAACCATCTCAGACCACTAATTACCCAACAAAAGGCTGCAGTTAGAATGATAACAAATTCTCACTATAGGCAGCACACTCCACCAATATTCAATACACTAAACCTATTCACCATACAAAACATTCATACTTATTACTGCACCTATTACATACATAGAACACTTAACTCTGATATTAACCCTCCCCTCAAACATCTCCTTGCCAACCTCAACAGAACACATGACCATAACACAAGGCACAGATCACTCTTTGATGTTCCTCGTGTCCATCTCACACTTTGCAAAAACTCAATGCACATAAAAGGCCCTAAATTCTGGAACTCATTACCTGTAAATATAAAAGAAACACTACCTGTTTATAAATTCAAGTCTCTTCTCAAAGATCACTTACTCACCCAAAACCAAATAAATACTGAATAACTGAACCTTATAAATTGTATATCTTAAATGTTTCTCACAATTATATCACATAAATGTTAAACCTAAAACCCAATCTAACTTTATTATTTTTTAAATACACTACCTAACAGAATACTCCATTCTACTGAAAGTACAACAATGCATACAACCATATGACCTGTCTTTGTAATACTCACTTGTGCTTTATAGTAATCTGTTTACATTAAAGTTTTATCACCGATGTCATCATTGCTTAGTTCATCTTAAGTTAATTTTAAGCCAGCCCGTAATGCTATGCATAGTATAAGTGGCTTTGGCATACTGCTATTTTCTGTATTTTTTGTACCTCTGTATGTGTGCACAAATTTTTAAATAAATAAATAAATAAATAAATAAATGTGGTCTTAGGAACGGAACTCCGTCGTTAAGTGAGGAGAGGCTGTATAGTCATGGCTCAAATGGTAGTGTGTTGAGCTCACATCTTAAGGACCTTGGTTCAGTCCAGTTACAAGCGGAGACATTGGGCACGTTTCTTATACCTGTTGCCCAAACTGTTCACCGAGTGGTAAGTAGGTACCTAGGTGTTAGCTGGCTGCTGTGAGTTGTCCTGGACAAAAGGATCAAAGGCCCAGATGGAAATAAGCCATAGTGGCTTTCTTGGGTTATCCTGTGTTACTAACCCTTTGGGTTAATAATATCTAGGTAAGTACAGATAGTAAGCAAATCAGTCTTTCTTCTTTCTTTCTTTGTTGGGTTTAGCAGGGTCACTGACAGCATAAGCCGTATCAAGCCCGGTTTCTCGATGGGATGAGGAAAAATTGTTGCCCAAGGCTGGGTGATGAAAGAAAAGGAACAAAAGTTCCTTTGTAAAGAGAGACAGAAACTTGAAAGTTTCCAATTATATCTGGTGGACGCCATTGCCAAGCCCCAGCAGATTGGGACGCCCACACCCCCACCTGAGTTCAGTAACCAGCTTCCCACCAAAGACCATTAAAGAATTTTCCACAGAGTGGAAAAAATGGAGCTGGTTAAAAGTAAGCTGATGAACAGGTGCCCCTCCTGTAGAGTGCCTGGCGGGCAAAATAGATGAGGACAAGCATCCCAGAGAGAATGGTAGAAATTTGTCACTGATACACAGGCGAGAGAGAGACGTCCACACCCGACGAAGGCTGGCACAGAAGTCCAGTGAGTCAGTCTGGCTCTCAGCAGATGGAGGAGCGAGCCTCCACCATGTTTTGCGCTAAATGACTCGCATGAATTATTATTACTGGGTTAATAATCCAAATACAGTATTCTTCATTAAGGGAGGTAGAGTATAGTAGCAATATAATAAATTTTATAAAAGAAATAGGGCATGTCCAGAAGTAAAGGCAAAGTTAAGCACTGGACAGGCACCTAAAGTCAGTACCTGACCAACCGGGCTGTGGTTCGTACGTCAGCTTGCGTGTGGCCAGCAGTAACAACCTGGTTGATTATGACCCTGATCCACCATGAGGCCTGATCTCAGACCAAGCTGCAGGGGCGTTGACCCCCGAAACCCTCTCCAGGTAAACCCCAGGTAGTATCTATCTTGAAGTGCGACAAGGGATAAACAGTTTATAGTAACAAGATCAGAACTATGCTTGTGGTTTGCCATCTTAACATTTAGTCTATCATATAATATTTTAAAATTCCCAGTGGCCATAACACAAGTTCCCATATCCTCTCGGAAACAGTCCACTTGTTCTACATCAGTCTGTGAAGAACAACTCTCTAGTATCCTTTCAGAACCACTTCATATTCAAATTTTTATATCTTTAATGCAGTACACAGATAATGTAATTTACATGTAATAAAATATTATTAGGGACAAGAAAGCCACTAGGATGCAATGCATTTCTTTTTCAGCTTACAGGTATGGCTTATTCTTCCTGTCAAGAAATTCTTATTATGGTATTACAGAATGATTAAGATACACATGAAAATAAGGATAAGTGTATACTTGTACTTAATTTAAGTTTAAGTTTGTAAGACTTACTTATCATTGTGTGTTCATGAAACAATAAAATAAGCCCTGCAATCCTGTCAGAGTGCAAAACATTTAACAAGCTTTCAGTCCACACTAAAGTAACAGTTGCCTACTAATGTACTACCTTTCAATAGTTTGCCTTGTATTCTGCCTGTTTTGTAGTTTAAAAATTAGCAGTCCATGAGAAGATCTATCAAAAGTTTTCTAGAAATTTAAATAGATGCAATTTTCCTATTAATTTCTCTTAATTATTCCTGTAACTCTGCAGGGGTTGGAGCTCTTAGACAAGGCATGTTTGGGTAACAATGCATTATCTTGCTACTACATCTCGGGCATATTCATTCAAGGAGTCAAGGACGCTATCAACAAGGATATGAGCAAAGCCTTCAGCTACTCCTTGAAAGCCTGTGAGCTGGGCAATATGTATGCTTGTGCAAATATTTCTCAGGTATGTAGCTCACATATCTTTACAAAACTAAAAATTTGATTTTAGTAAGATAACAAGTGGGGAGAACCTTGATGCTTGTGAAGGACTGTTAATCCAAGGATTTGGAGCTCATGCCCCTTTCCTTGGATCAAGCTAAATGCACTCATTGACCATGATAAGGGTGCAGTACGAAAATACTCAGTAAAGTGACTATTTATATATGTACTGTATCTTTCTTTCTTTCAACGCACCAGCTGTATCCCACTGAGGTGGGGTGGCCCAAAAGGAAAATCTAAAGTTTCTCCTTTTAAATTTAGTAATATATATATATATATACAGGAGAAGGGGTTACTAGCCCCTTGCTCCCGGCAAGGAAGAAGGAGGAAGAATTCTGTTCCACTTCCCCATGGAGATAAGAGGAAATAAACAAGAACAAGAACTAGAAAGAAAATAGAAGAAAACCCAGAGGGGTATGTATACATGTATATATGCTTGTACATGTATGTGTAGTGTGACCTAAGTGTAAGTAGAAGTAGCAAGATGTGCCTGAAATCTTGCATGTTTATAAGACAGAAAAAGGGACACCAGCAATCCTACCATCATGTAAAATAATTACAGGCTTTCGTCTTACACTCACTTGGCAGGACAGTAGTACCTCCCTGGGTGGTTGCTGTCTACCAACCTACTACCTAGAACGTACTGTATATGCTATACATTTATAAGTTTCAGCAAATTTATATAGTTTAAGCTAAATGTATTTTTAAAATCTCCATTAAGTTCATCACAGCCAAAATTTTAGTGTCCTTTTATATCTTACATATATCCTGTGAATTTTTTTTTTTTTTTCAACAAGTCGGCCGCCTCCCACCGAGGCAGGGTGACCCAAAGAGAAAGAAAATCCCCAAAAAGAAAATACTTTCATCATCATTCAACACTTTCACCTCACTCACACATAATCACTGTTTTTGCAGAGGTGCCCAGAATACAACAGTTTAGAAGTATATACGTATAAAAATACACAATATATCTCGCCAAACCGCCAATATCCCAAACCCCTCCTTTAGAATGCAGGCATTGTACTTCCCATTTCCAGGACTCAAGTCCAGTTAAATAAAATAACTGGTTTCCCTGAATCCCTTCACTAAATATTACCCTGCTCACACTCCAAGAGATTGTCAGGTCCCAAATACCATTTGTCTCCATTCACTCCTGTCTAACATGCTCACGGACGCTTGCTGGAAGTCCAAACCCTTCGCCCGCAACACCTCCTTTACCCCCCTCCCTCCAACCTTTTCGAGGACGACCCCTACCCCGCCTTCCTTCCTCTACAGATTTATACACTCTCCATGTCATTCTACTTTGATCCATTCTCTCTAAATGACCAAACCACCTCAACAAATCCTCTTCAGCCCTCTGACTAATACTTTTATTAACTCCACACCTTCTCCTAATTTCCACACTCCGAATTTTCTGCATAATATTTACACCACACATTGCTCTTAGACAGGACATCTCCACTGCCTCCAACTGCCTCCTTGCTGCAGCATTTACAACCCAAGCTTCACACCCATATAAGAGTGTTGGTACTATTATGCTTTCATACATTCCCTTCTTTGCCTCTATAGATAACATTTTTGACTCCACATATACCTCAATGCACCACTCACCTTTTTTCCTTCATCAATTCTATGATTAACCTCATCCTTCATAAATCCATCCTGTGAATGTGTTCAGATATTTGGGAGTAGACTTGTTGGCAGATGGGTTTTTGAAGGATGAGGAAACCGGTTAGCCGGACTTGAGTCCTGGAGATGGTAAGTACAGTACCTTCCCTCTGAAAGAGGGGTGTTGATATGTTGCAGTTTTTTAAATGTAGTGTAGGCATGCCTCTGGTAAGACAGTGAAGGAGTGAATGATGATGAAATTGTTTCTTCTTTTACAGGTCACCCTGTCTTGGTGGAAAAAATGGTTGGTGTTAATAAAAAAAAACCCAAATGATACATAGATCTTAGATGATTATTTATATTATTATTATTATTCTTTTCTTTCAACAAACTGGCCGTATCCCACCAAGGCAGGGTGGCCCAAAAAGAAAAATGAAAGTTTCTCTTTTTAAATTTAGTAATTTATACAGGAGAAGGGATTACTAGCCCCTTGCTCCCGGCATTTTAGTCGCCTCTTAAAACACGCATGGCTTACGGAGGAAGAATTCTGTTCCACTTCCCCATGGAGTATTTTTATTATTATTATTATTATTATTATTATTATTATTGTTATTATTATTATTATTATTATTATTATTATTATTATTATTATTATTATTATTATTATTATTATTATTCGTTGGAAAGCTGTAAGCCCCTAAGGATGATACAGTGCCTGGGGAATGGGAAGTACAGGTAAACAAATTCTATTTAGGGCTGGGAGGGCAGTTCTCGGCTTGGTTAACGGCTGTGCCCAGCATTGTACTGTATATTATTTGTTCATTAACATTTTTCACTTACACTTTATTAATGTTTTTGTTTCCTTATTTAACAGATGTATCACAAAGGAGACGGTGTTGAGAAGAATGAAGAAAAGAGTAAAGAATACAAGGAGAAAGCATTAGACATGCAAAAACAGTTAAAGGAACAGATGGAAATACAATTCCAACAAGGAACTCAAAAGTTGTAGTTATTGGACCTCACCTACATATATATATATACATATATATATATAGTATAGGTAGTAGGTTGGTAGACAGCAACCGCCCAGGGAGGTACTACCGTCCTGCCAAGTGAGTGTAAAACGAAAGCCTGTAATTGTTTTACATGATGGTAGGATTGCTGGTGTCCTTTTTTCTGTCTCATGAACATGCAAGATTTCAGGTACGTCTTGCTACTTCTACTTACACTTAGGTCACACTACACATACATGTACAAGCACATATATACACACCCCTCTGGGTTTTCTTCTATTTTCTTTCTAGTTCTTATTCTTGTTTATTTCCTCTTATCTCCATGGGGAAGTGGAACAGAATTCTTCCTCCGTAAGCCATGCGTGTTGTAAGAGGCAACTAAAATGCCGGGAGCAAGGGGCTAGTAACCTCTTCTCCTGTATATATTACTAAATGTAAAAGGAGAAACTTTCGTTTTTCCTTTTGGGCCACCCCGCCTCGGTGGGATACGGCCGGTGTGTTGAAAGAAGAAAGATATATATATAGTATATATTTTGCATTTATTGTGAAAAGGTGGCAATTGTGATTTTTAAAGAGGTAAAATATTGATATTGGAGTGATATCTATTTTATTTTATATTAATGATACAATATTTTTCCCCAATGTTAGAACTATACATATTTAGATACTTTTCATTGTTACCACCATGGCCATTTTCTAGTGAGGAAAGTGACCCAAAGAAGGTAACTCATTCACCATCATTCATTCCCTAGCTTGTCTTCTCGAAAGTGCATGGATATCATAGTTCTAATAAAATCCACCAAACTGCTACATCCCCAACTCTCTCTCAGACATACTCAGCATTGTTTCACCATTAAAATTCCTCCTCCATCACAATGTTATGCCCTGGATTGGATTTCTGTATATCAAGTACATACTGGATAAAGGTTTCCCTGCAAATATGGCTTATGTCATCATATATCCTCAAGTCCAGCTCATTGGTTTTCCTGAATCCCTTTATAAATGTTACCTTACATTCCGACAGCAAATCAGAACACAAAAAACTACTTGCTTCCTCTCACTCCAATTTAATATGCTCAGCCAAGCCTGCTGGATGCTAAGGTCTCTACAACTTACACCTTCCTTCATACCCTACTTCCAACCTATCCTAGGACATCTACACTACCTCCCATTCACTCCAGAATTGTATACTCCCAGTGAGAAAAGCATAGCCTAAATAAAATATCTAAACACTGCAAATGTGTCCATTTACCTAAATTTGTTGTTATAAACATATACCATTCATACTCTCAATATCGATATCATAGAACACATGGCCAAAAAAAAAGTATAAATATTTAACATCTACACTTGTGGAGTTTTCCCAAATGTATTCCTTGCATCCCTGCTTTTCATTGGGACCAAGCCTTCTAAAAATTTTCAAGGTATAGATTATATTATACCTCTCCTGTCTACATTCCAAGGGGTACAGATAAAGGGATTTCTCTGAACATTCTCCAGGTCTGCTATTTTGCCTGCCTTGGAGTTGTTTGAGTACAGCAGTACTCTAGACTAGAAAGAACAAGTGACTAAAAGAGTAACATCAGTGGCATGGCATTCCTTGTTTTGAAAGTTCTAATTATCCAGCCTATTATTGTCCTTGTGGTTGTGATAGTGACATCGTTGTAATCCTTGAAGATGAGCTCTAACATTATTACTCCCAAATCTCTAACATTAATCATATGGTCTCTTGAGTGATTTGAATATGTTTTATAATTCATTCAAGTCTGCTTCCTCAGTCTTTCCATAACAGAGTAACTAAAACTTCTTTCTTTCAACACATCGGCCGTATCCCACTGAGGCAGGGTGACCCAAAAAGAAAAACGAAATTTTCTCTTTTTAAATTTAGTAATTTATACAGGAGAAGGGGTTACGAGCCCCTTGCTCCTAGTAACTAAAACTTATTCTCATTAAATATCATATTGTCAGTGACCCACTGGAAGACTGTTTATATCAGCTAAGAGGTTCGCTGTGTCCTCAGTAGATGTCACTCTCATACAATTCAAGTATTGTCTGCAAAGGATGATACATTGCTATGATTTATGCCACTGTCAAATATGAGACTGAGAATAGAGAACAATGACATGTACTGTGCTTTCAGGAACAGAGCTTTTTACTACAGCAGCCTTTGATTTCACTCTGCTCACGGTTACATCCTGGGTTCTATTTGTTATAAAATTAAATATTCATCTGCCTATTTTTCCAGTTATACGCCTTATCACTTATCATTTGTGATGGCTGGCAGTGATGCGTGACCGCATGAGACCACGACTCAATGTTGTACCACTTGTTATTGTCTAACTGTGGCATGCAAAGAGTATGTAACCTTTATTCGGCACATGTACACACCCCACCAGGTGCCAGATCAACCAGGCTATGATGAGTATGTGGACCAACGGGCCACCAGCAGCAAGAGCTTGGTTGACCAGGCCATTATTTCCCTAAAGACGAGGCCATGTATTTTGTGGGTCATTACACCATGGCCACACTTGTCAAAGGCTTTTGCAGAGTCTGCACTTTGCTTGTCTTTCAATGCGCTGAAGATCATGTCATAATGGTGAAGCAACTACAAGAGGTAGGAGCAGTCTTCTCTAACCCAATACTGCCCTGGGTTGTACAATTGTTGTGAATCCATGTGGTTAGCAATCTTGTTTCTTAAGATTCAAATATTTTGATAATGTGGGACATCGGTGCTATTAGTCTGTAGTTTTAGCAATTGCTTTACTGCCACTTTTGTGGAGTGTTGCTGTCTTGATTGCTAGTGAACTCAGCTCACACAGTGAGGTCTTTGGTTTGATCCCCAGTACGGGTGAAAACATTAGGATGTGTTTCCTTAAGATACCTGCTGTCCATGTTCACCTATCAGTAAAATAGGTACCTGGGCATTAGTTGACTGGTGTGGGTTGCATCCTGGGGACAAAATTAACCTATTTTGCCCAAAATGCTCTGTGTAACAAGAGGCTTTTTATATAGAAATATGTCATTGATGTCAGCTAGGCCTCTAGACCTTGTACACATATACTATGTAGAAATAAAGATTTAAAAAACTGAGATAATTCCTGTGTCCAGACTCCTCCATGGAACATTCAAAGCATGAGATAGTAGTTTCTTGTGAATACTTTTTTTTCACTTACTGGATAATTTTCACTGTATTGTACCAACTAGTGACCACTAAAACATGATAGCTTGTGAAATTTCACATACATTTTGAAAATCACATGCTTTTAAAGATAATTTCTTTGATTTTTTTATTTTTTGAAATCCTTGCTTAAGCTCCCAGAATAAAGTCTTGGCTGCACTACTGAGGGAAAAGTATACAAATAAAAATCTGTTGTATGGGGTATGCTGATACAGTACAGTACATATAACAAATATGATGAATGATGATGAGTCAAAGGGTCTTGCATTTACCCAAATACAGATTGAATAAAAATTAGTACCCATCCTTTGTTTCATTCATTCTCAAGTTTCCAATGATTTTAATTGATGTTCACCCAACCAACAGGGTAGGGTGAACACTAAATTTTAATTTATTATCTATGAGCAGCCCTAAGAACTTACGCTCATTTTTTTTTTAAATTTCAGATTAATTCATTTCGATGTCCAATGGTGGACAGGGTTTTTTCTCAAAAGTTATACTATATATTATTTTTTTATCACACTAACCATCTCCCACTGAGGCAGACTGACCCAGAAAAAAAACATTTTCCCCATAATTCACACTATCACTGTCTTGCCAGAGGAGTACAGGTACAACAGTTCAGATTCCCTCCAAACAGCCAATAACCCTGCCTCTCCTTTAAAGCACAGGCACCAAATCTGTGTGGGTCATAAAGCATTGTAATACTGAAGGGAGATACGTGCAAGGGAAGGTATGACCTCCCCTTACTCATACGCCATCCAAGATTTCAAAAGGGCTTAACTTATAGTTTAATTATTCAATACTATAGGAACTTCCCTGTTGGTAGAATGGTTATACTAAATCTGTTCTTCATTTATAGCAGAAAATTTGACAAGGGTGGCTCACACTAGGGTTGGGCCTCACTCTATTTCACACTCATTATAGAGAGCTCACTCAAAGCTGATCTTTTCCCTAGTTGGTGTTATTGTATAAGAAAAATAAGCATGCCTAACCTTTAGGCATGACCTGCTTCCATTAAGTGGATTTTGTCGACTGTTGACACCACCTCCAACTGCTTCACCTCACCTGTCTGCAGTACATAAGCCCCTTCTCTCTGCATATGATGAACTTTTATCTAAATTGATGGATTGAACACACCATATTCAGGTTGAAGGACTGATTACCTCAAACTCCCTCTCATTTTCTACTGTTCTTCTTTGTCTTGGACTCTTTCATCACCATAGCACCTCACTTCTCAGTGAACTGATTATCAATTGGTGCATTAAGTTCAAACCTGTTTATAGTCTGTATATGTATGTATGCATACATGCATGTATTGGGTAAACAGCATTTTATGGAGGTGGTGGCCATGCCCAGCCAAACTCACCTAACTATCACTCAGCTAGACTAGTCTTTAAGGAAAATTTATGATGGCAAAAGTGCATAGAGGTTGCCCTCGTTGCTGTTAGTAACAATATTCATTAATATTCCATAAGTTACACTGCTCAAGGGAGGTTCCTTGATGCTGGTGAGGGGCTCTTAATCTAGGGAATTGGATCTGTGCTCCAGTTCCCTGAATTGAGCCTGAATGCCTTCCATCCCCCCCCACATGCAGTGTATAATCCTAAGGGTTTAGGGCTCTGCTCCCCCATGATTATAGTAATAATCCATAAGTTACACTACATCCAAATTGTTAAACAGCAGGATATTACCCATTCTGGTGACCACTGTAATGTGATGTTGACAGGTCTTTCTTAAACGCAACCCTTCTCACCACAATTGTCCTACTACTACTGTACTACTACTACTACTACTACTACTACTACTACTACTACTACTACTACTACTACTACCATCCTTGCAGCTTGGGGTCATAAAAGAAGTAAATGTTAGGGTGCTGGGGAGAAGGGTGGGATTAAATTATGGGGAATCAAATATGTACAAAATGGGAGTTGACAGTTACTTTTTGCTGATGATGCTGAGCTTTTGAGAGATTCTAAAGAAAAGTTGCAAAGGTTAGTGGATGAGTTTGGGAGGGTGTGTAAAGGTACAACATTGAAAGTGAACATAGATAAGAGTAAAGTGATGAGGGTATCAAACGATTTAGATAAAGAAAAATTCAATAGTATCACACTGGAGAGAGAGAATAAGGAAGAATTTAATGTTTTCAGATATTTGTGAGTTCACTTGCCAGTGGATTGGTATATGAAGGATGAGGTTAACCATAGAATTGATGAAGATAAAAAGGTGAGTGGTGGGTTGAGGTATCTGTGGAGACAAAACACGTTGTCCATGGAAGCAAAGAAGGGAATGTGCGAAAGTATAGTGGTACCAAGACTCTTACATGGGTGTGAAACTTGGGTTGTAAATGCTGCAGCAAAGAGGTGGCTGGAGGCTGTGGAGATGTCCTGTCTAAGGGCAATGTGTGGTGTAAATATTATGCGGAGAATTCAGAGTGTGGAAATTAGGAGAAATTGTGGAGTTACTGAAAGTATTAGTCAGAGGGCTAAAGAGGGGTTGTAGAGGTAGTTTGGTCATTTAGAGAGAATGGATCAAAGTAGAATGACTTGGATAGCATATAAATCTGCAGGGTAAGGAGGGTGGGGTAGGGGTCATCCTCAAAGAGGTTGGAGGGAAGGGGGTATAGGAGGTTTTGTGGGCAAGGGGCTTGAACTTCCAGCAAGCATGTGTGAGTGTGTTAGGAGTGAATGGAGATAAATGGTTTTTGGGACCTGATGAGCTGTTGGAGTGAGAGCAAGGTAATATTTTGTGAATGGATTCAGGGAAACCAGTTAACCAGACCTGAGTCCTGGAAGTAGGAAGTACAATGCCTGCACTTTAAAGGAGGGGTTTGGGATATTGGCAGTTTGGAGGGATATCTAAACTGTCGTAACTGAGCACCTCTGCAAAGACAGTGTTTATGCATGAGTGATGGTGGAAGTGTTGATTGATGAAAATTTTTTTCTTCTTGGGTTTTTATTTCTTTTTGGGTCACCCTGTCTCAGTGGGAAATGGCCGATGTGTTAAAAAAAAAAATTAGGGTGGCCTGTATCACTTGGTAGCACCCCAGTCATGCTAAGTATCCGGGTTTTTTTTCCCCTGTTGGGTGAAAAACTTTGGGGGTTTTTCCCTTAAAAAAACCCCTGCTGTCCTGTTCACCTTTCAGTAACTATTAAAAGGGGTTTTTGTTGAAACTTTAGTAAATGTGTTCCTGTTTCATTAGGGGGATGTTACACCTTTATCTATCTTTTGCTTTAAAAGGAAGTAAGTTGGTGGCAGATAGGTTTAAGAATATTTTTCAAATTCAAATTCAAATTCAAAGTTTTTCTCTAAAAGGTTTTACAATGCGGGTTTTACAAAAAATTTGGTTATTTTTTGGGTTTACATGTAGAAAAATTGTGTTACGAGTGACCACAGAACGTTTAGCAGGGCTAGGCATTTGGGGCTATTATTTTTATTCTTAATTTGTAAAATTTACAAATTATAGGTAAGTTGGTATTAGGGCTAAGTGACTAAATACTTTTTGTGAGTTTCAATTGAATGCTTTTGTTTTGGACAGTAAAAAGTTTCAGTTTTGGAGACCAGGATTTTTATTTTAAGCTGGATTAATATTTGTTTATGGTCAAATGATGAGTGAGTGTAAGTGTAAACAGGTGGTATTCGGAGTTATTTGCGGGGGGCGGGGAGAAAAGTTTTTTTTTAAAGGGGTAGTTTTGAAGGTGTGAATGTTCTGCTTTTAGAGTTCCAGGTAGGGTTTCCAATTTTGGGCCTTTGACATACTTTGAATTTTTGTAAATTTTAGTGGGACCGGGGGAATGTCGTAGAGATTTTTGTGTTGGTGTTATCCCTGGGGGTTTTCTGTCAAAACTATCAAGAAAGCGTTTGGTCAAGGTTTGAATTAGAGTTTAGGCCCCTGTAGATGTGATTGACAGTGTAGTGTGGGGTACTAAAAAGGGGTAATTTTAGATCTATGAAAGGGGGGGGGTGTGTTCCCGGGGTGGGATTTATGATTATTCTTACTGAGTTTTTGTTGGGTTTTATTGGCTTTAGGTTGTTGCTGCAGTTGACCCAAAAGCACAAATAGTGGGTGGGGTATGGATAAATAATTAGGGTATTGGAGAAGGGCATTTTGGGGCCCCGTAGTATGTTTGGAGGGGCCCCAAACCCTTTTTTGGAACTTTTTTGGCTATAGCGGGTTTTGGGGCTGAAATTCGGTTGTTGTCAAGGTTAAAACCAGGAATTTTCCCCCTTTTTTTCTGGTAATTAGAGTGTTGTCAATCTTAATGTTAATTTGTGATCTCCTGCTTGAACCAACATAATATGTGGGTTTTTTCAGTGTTAAGGGAAGTTATTGGCTGCATCAAGTCGAATTTTAATCGCTCCCATTCCAAAGGGTGTTGAGGGTGAAGTTAGGGGGAGATGACTAAGTCTGTCATCAGCAAAGAGAATGGGTTTCAGGGTTGGGATAGTTTGGGAAGGTCATTGTGTTAGGGAAGGGAGGGGGCCAAGGAACCCCTTTCCCGTGGAATCCAGTATCAAGTGGGCCCTGTTTTTGTGCTTTGGGGCTTTAATGGTGACGTTGATACCTTTTGTTTGAAAAAAATTTTAAATAAGCAAGCGCAGGCCTCTTATACCGTAGTTACAAGTTTTTGGGAGGATTCGTGGTCTACTGTGTCAAAAACTTTTTTTAGGTCAAAAAAAATTCCATGGGAAATTTTTTTTTTTTCCAATGCTGGTAAAAACAAACTAGATTTTTATGATTGCCTTTTTGCTTTTATTTTTCCTGAATCCAAAAGGCAGGGGTTGAGTAGTTTTGAGCCATTATAAATGAATACAGTTCCTGTGCACGGTTTCTCAAGAATTTTGGAAACAAGGTAAGTTTAAAATTTGGCCCTTTGTGTTTAATTCTGTGGGTCACCACCCTTTTTGTATTGGTGAAACCCTTGCCATCTTGGTAGTTTTTGGGAAGGTGCTAGTCTCTATGATTGTTGAAAAATAATGAAAAAGTGCGAAAGGACAGGGCCCCCTCGCTTGTCAGTAATGGTGGGACTGAAAGATTTCCGAGTTATTTTTAAGTGACTTTTTGATTCAATGACTTCGTGGCTCGTTGGGCAAGATGAAGGAATTAGGGGAAAATTTCCATTAGGTGTCCCCCGGGAGGGGATTGGTATGTGGGTTTTATGGGGGAGATTAGATCCTATGTTTTTAGAAGAATCGTTTTCTTGTTTTTTGTGTCAGGGGATGTATGGGGTTTTTTAGGTTTTGTTGGACAATATTCTTTGGTTTTTTTTCGTTTTTGGGTCCCAGAATCTGAGAGAGTGTTTTCCAGGTCTTTTTTATACTCCTTAGTGCTGGAAAAATTTTGGGTTGTAGTTTTTTGGCTTTTTTTTTACTTTGGGGAGCGATGAATAGTTTTTTTAAGAGATCTTTGTGTATTAAGCCTGTTATATTGCTTTTTATTTGGTGTTTTGTCTTTTTTTCGAATGGTGTGGGTTGCCCTGGGCAACCAAACCGTTTGTTTGTGATCTGTTTTGTTTTTTTTAGGACAATGTTTGTTGTATGCTAAGTAATTTTTAAGAAAAATGTCTGTCAAATCTCAATACCCTTGGCCCTTGAGAATTCTGTAGGCCCCAACAACATCTCTAGGTCAGCTGTAAAATTCCTTCTGAGGCCTCTCATGGAGTCTAAATGAGCTGTTTTTATTTTAAGTGGTGGTTTACTAAGTTTTTGGAGGAAGGTAGGGTAGTGGTCTGTAGTGCATCGTGTTTATCCCTGATTTAAGGGGGGGGGATATATTGGTCCATATGTGGTTATTTGGTTGCCTTGTCTCAGTGAGCCTGGTTGGTTTGTTTTTGTTGGATGAGAAGTGTGTTGTTCATATTGTTGATGAAAACAGTTACGGCGATCATCTAGTAAGCCAAAAGGGTTGATGTTTAAGTCTCCACTAAAAGAAGGTGGTGCTTAATTTATTTGTTGTTTGTTTTAGTGACTTTAAATTTTTCACGAAAATTTTTGGGTGTTTGTGTGAGGTACCCGGGAAATGGCATCGATTGTTATAGGCGTCTTAAAGTTTTTTTACAGTAAAATTAGCAAAAATGTATTCCCCATATTCATCACTAAAGCAAGTGGTGCTAAGACAAGATAATTGGTTAGAGTAATAGATTGCAATACCACCCCAACTTGGTTTGTTCTGCAGTTGTGAATTGCTGTGTATCCTGGTAGAGGGTAGATATCTATTGTGTCCTGCTTAAGCCAGGTCTCAGTAAGAATAATGCAGGAGAAGGTGTCTTTAGTGATTCAAGGAGTGCTAGGAGGTCATCATAGTGTTTGCTTAAGGACCTGATGTTGTAGTTAAGTACTGATAGACTTTTAGCATTGTTTAGGATAGTGGTGGCTTGTGATGCTGTGTAATAAAGGCAGTTACTTTCCAATAGGTTTTGATTGGGTGTCAGATTATGGAGGTTTAGATCAGGGTCAACGTTGATCAATCATCTTCTAGGTTTAAATAATGGTTATTTATATCCTGAGTTGTGTGTTGAGTTCTAGTACTGATACCTGTAGTGGTTGGAAGTTTGGACAAGTATATAGCTAGAGTATTTTGGTCATGTAGGGTATAGTCACTACTACACATAATGAAGTTGATGTTGTCTATGTGTTGTGCTGGAATGAACTAAAGTACAACTAGGTATAAACTAGTAATATAAAAATACAAATTAAAAATAGAACAAGACTCTCACTTGTAATTGCACTAAGGTCTAATAATGACTTTTGTGGAGTCTATGTTTTGAGCTAGAGTGAGCTAAAGTACAATAGGTTTAATCTAATAATATAAAAGTACAAATTAAAAATAGCACTAGTCTCTCACTAGTAATTGCACTATGGTCTAATATAGTGAATTTGGTATTGACTATGTCTTGAGGTAGAATGAGCTATGGTACAATAAGCCCCAGGAGGCTAGGAGAGAGTGAATCTAGCAGCAAGTTGAGAGACTTTTTTGGGTTATCCTAGGTTCTCTACACATATGCTGCTATGTATGATAATTCTATGTAACTGTATTTGTGTATACCTGAATAAACTTACTTTCTTACTTACAGGAGCGGTAATTCGACCCCTACAACCACATATAGGTAAGTACATAAGCTTTAGTTGCCCTTAACTTCTGTGATGTCATGGAATCAATGACGTCACATGACGTCACAACCAGCTCAGTCATAAGCAACATGGCGGCTACCAGTAGCGGTGTAGAGTGGGGTCAACTTGTTAAGCCCATCCTAGCGGCGTCCTACGGTTCCCTCAACAAACAAGACATTCCTGAGCTAGCTAAAGCTATACTGAAGAGGTAGGTGAGGTAGTGAGGGAGGAAGGAGAGGTGTGGAGGTAGTAATGTTGGAGGTGCTGAGGGGAGGTTGTCTGCACCAACAGTGACCAGCAGATACGTAAGAAAAATTTTTACCCATTTACCCTCAGGAGGGTATTGATGCCGGTGAGGGGATCCTGATCCAGGGCACTGGAGGTATCCTTCCCATGTCTTGGATCAAACCTGATAGTCTCATAGTCTCCCAGACACTATATAAGCTCACCATTGTGATTGCTTCTTCATAATACTTGAAACAATCAATAATGACTAATAATAATCGTATTAAATAAATAATCATAATTACTAAGAGTAACACGACAAATTATATATATATATTTATAATAAAAGTTATACTACTAATAATCTTCATTTTTATACTTTATTACATTTTCTTTTTCTACTTTTTTCTTTTTCTTTATTTTCTTTCTCTTTGTTTCTTTTATTTCTTATTTTCTTTTTCTAGAATTTGTTTCGTCATTTTTTCTCATTTTCTTTTCCTCTTATTTTCTTTTCTTATTCTTTTCCTCTTCTTATTCTTTTTCTCATTTTTTTCAACAACATTTCAACAACTTGGTTAAAATATGATAATTTGTGGGGATTTTTAACCCAGAGTGTTATCCACCCAGGATAACCCAGGGTAGGGAGGGTTAGTCACCTAGGATAACCCAGGGTAGGGAGGGTTAGTCACCCAGGATAACCCAGGGTAGGGAGGGTTAGTCACCCAGGATAACCCAGGGTAGGGAGGGTTAGTCACCCAGGATAACCCAGGGTAGGGAGGGTTAGTCACCTAGGATAACCCAAGGTAGGGAGGGTTAGTCACCTAGGATAACCCAGGGTAGGGAGGGTTAGTCACCCAGGATAACCCAGGGTAGGGAGGGTTAGTCACCTAGGATAACCCAGGGTAGGGAGGGTTAGTCACCTAGGATAACCCAGGGTAGGGAGGGTTAGTCACCCAGGATAACCCAGGGTAGGGAGGGTTAGTCACCCAGGATAACCCAGGGTAGGGAGTGTTATCCACTCAGGATAACCCAGGGTAGGGAGTGTTAGCCACCCAGGATAACCCAGGGTAGGGAGTGTTAGCCACCCAGGATAACCCAGGGTAGGGAGTGTTAGCCACCCAGGATAACCCAGGGTAGGGAGTGTTAGCCACCCAGGATAACCCAGGGTAGGGAATGTTAGCCACCCAGGATAACCCAGGGTAGGGAGTGTTAGCCACCCAGGATAACCCAGGGTAGGGAGTGTTAGCCACCCAGGATAACCCAGGGTAGGGAGTGTTAGCCACCCAGGATAACCCAGGGTAGGGAGGGTTAGTCACCCAGGATAACCCAGGGTAGGGAGGATTAGTCACCCAGGATAACCCAGGGTAGGGAGGGTTAGTCACCCAGGATAACCCAGGGTAGGGAGGGTTAGTCACCCAGGATAACCCAGGGTAGGGAGTGTTAGCCACCCAGGATAACCCAGGGTAGGGAGGGTTAGTCACCCAGGATAACCCAGGGTAGGGAGGGTTAGTCACCCAGGATAACCCAGGGTAGGGAGGGTTAGTCACCCAGGATAACCCAGGGTAGGGAGGGTTAGTCACCCAGGATAACCCAGGGTAGGGAGGGTTAGTCACCCAGGATAACCCAGGGTAGGGAGGGTTAGTCACCCAGGATAACCCAGGGTAGGGAGGGTTAGTCACCCAGGATAACCCAGGGTAGGGAGTGTTAGCCACCCAGGATAACCCAGGGTAGGGAGTGTTAGCCACCCAGGATAACCCAGGGTAGGGAGGGTTAGTCACCCAGGATAACCCAGGGTAGGGAGGGTTAGTCACCCAGGATAACCCAGGGTAGGGAGTGTTAGCCACCCAGGGTAACCGAGGGTAGGGAGGGTTAATCACCCAATATAATCCAGGGTAAGGAGGGTTAGTCACCCAGGGTAACCCAAGAAAGTCAGTGCATCATTGAGAGACTTTCTTATTTCCATTATGGTCCTTCAGTCTTGTCCCCCAGGATGCCACCCACACCAGTCCACTAACACCCAGGTACCTACTTGTTTGCTAGGTGAACAGGACAACAGGTGTAAGGAAACAAGCCCATTGTTTCCACCCTGGACAGCAATTGACCCACTGACACCCAATGTGTGGAGCAAGAGCATTGCCTACCAGGCCACGGGCACCTGCTATTGGTTGACTTCAAATGTCATTGTTCTACCGCAGGCACTTCGTGTCAGTTTGTGTATACTATATTCATTTGTTCGTCATAAAGTATTGCAGTTTTTAAAATTCTAATGGAATTTAATTGTATTTCAGTAAAGAAGACATTCTTCACCATGATGAGCAGTATGAACCATTTTATGCATCATTCTGTGTACTGGCTGCTGATTATTTGGCCAGTAATTCCCACCAGGGTAAGTTAACAATAAATCAGTTTTTTTCAATTTTTTTTTATTTCAACACACCGGCCGTATCCCACCGAGGCGGGGTGGTCCAAAAGGAAAAACGAAAGTTTCTCCTTTTACATTTAGTAATATAAACAGAAGGGGTTACTAGCCCCTTGCTCCCGGCATTTTAGCTAATCGCCTCTTACAACACGCATGGCTTACGGAGGAAGAATTCTGTTCCACTTCCCCATGGAGGTAAGAGGAAATAAACAAGAACTAGAAAGAAAATAGAAGAAAACCCAGAGGAATGTGTATATATATGCTTGTACATGTATGTGCAGTGTGACCTAAGTGTAAGTAGAAGTAGCAAGACGTACCTGAAATCTTGCATGTTTATGAAACAGAAAAAAGGACACCAGCAATCCTACCATCATGTAAAACAATTACAGGCTGGAGTCCTGGAGATGGGAAGTACAGTGCCTGCACTCTGAAGGAGGGGTGTTAACGTTGCCGTTTTATAACTGTAGTGTAAGCGCACCTCGGGCAAGACAGTGATAGAGTGAACGATGAAAGTTTTTCTTTTTCGGGCCTCCCTGCCTTGGTGGGAAACAGCTGTTGTGTTAATAAAAAAAATATGGCACACCTTGATTTTATAAGAAAAGCCATAAATATGAAAAACATACTGGGTGTGGTAAATCAAATGAGTATATTTTTAAAAAATCTATTGTTAGTTTTTATTTTAAGTATGCTTCTTTAAATATGAGGAGGACGAAGATTAAAAGGAAAATGGGGAGGAAAAAAAAGGAAGAAAACCAGGTGTAGACAGTAAAGGAGTAAAGGAAAAAAATATTTGCATCACGAGAGATGCTGACAAAACCCCCATCAGTTTTTTCCTAATCATCTTAATGGAGCCCCCTTTTTTTTTTTCCAAAATTAATATATGTACATGTATCTTAAATATTTGCATTTGTGTACAGCATTAAGAACTCATTATACATTTGCTTCTTTGTCATGCAATTCACCAGAGGCATGTATGGTAATGACCTTACTTTCGTAACTGTTTATGGTAAGTATTCATCAAGTGTAGTGTACAGTGTTGTATGGGTTTGTGAGTGCTGCCAGTAGATTTTTATTAGGTACTAGGTACAGTAGTCATTGATGAGGGACCTAACGCGAATCATTTGTGATCAGATCCTGTGTTCTGTACTTTTTCAACAGTGAGTGTTGGAGGAGTGAGCCAGGCAGTCAGTGCAGCAAAAGTACTGCTGCAGTTTTTGGCATGCCATGTTGGGGCACCTCCTACTGCCATAACCACTCCAGTCTCCCACTCCTCGACCTCTGTCTCCACTTCAACTACGACCAGCACAAATGAGAATGGCAGTAGTACTCCAGCTGTGGCTGTCCCTACAGCTGTCACTTCACCTGTAGCCAAAAGTACAGTGACTACAAGTAGCACAGTGCCACCTTCCACCACTGCATCTAGTACAGTGACGAGTACAACTACCGTTACTACAACTACCACTTCTGCTGCTGCTGTTACACCTGTGACTGAGTAAATATATTTAAGTCTTATGAAGGGGGATTTTTACAGTATTTGTACAGGTTGGGTAGAAATGTAGATTATATTGTTCTTCCTGTAAAATATATGTATTTTACTGTGCTGTAGGGAAGAAGGGAAGGAAGGAAAGACCATAAGGTTTACATATCTGATAATTTCCTTTAAGTCATTTATTAATTTTTCATACAGTAAAGAAAATTTATTTTCCATTTGTGGAGATACAGTAGCACATTAACTTAAGTATTTAACCTGATTGGGGTCCTAAAGCAAAGCCTTGATTTAATGGAGTAATGGGGAAAGAGGGTGTCTGATTATGTTAGTTGCCTGGAAAATCTGAAAGTTAAAAACCATCAATAAATTACTATATGACTTTACTGTATATATAATACAGTACTGTACACACAATATACAGATACACTGCAGTGAACATTGAAAATAAAGTACTGTAGTTAAGAGTACATTAATAAAGTAATTTTACTTAACTTTTGTGGTGGATGGGTGGATGGGATTGTTTTGTCAGTATTGTAACAATAATGGACAATTCTGTAATTAATTTACTTTGTCCTTTGTTTCCAAAATCAATTTACCAAGCAAATTTTGTCTTGTTTATGAAAGCCATTAAGTGGAGGTCCATTAAAGTTTCACAAGAATAACAGAATTATTGCCTCTTTTCTTAAGTAAGAAGTTTTCAAGAGCAGCAAGCAATTGAAGGAACTGCATATTTTAGTTAGTTTATTTTTCTTTCATACTACAGTACCATACTTTGTTTTAGGACCAGTGGAGAGAAGGAACGAATGGTGTGTGTTCATGACAAGCATTTGCTTGCTGGCATCAAAGCTCTGTGTCGTGGATCTGGAGCTCTTCATCGTGCTGATCAAACATCCCTGACAGCAGCCATGAAGGCTGCAAAACTTCCACCGCACATTAAGACTGTTGCTCCAGGTACACCTCCTCCAGCAGGTCTGTTAATATTAAAAGATGGAGCCTCAAGCAGTTGCTCGGGGTGCTTTATTTTTGGGTTTTATTTTGTTGCTGGAATGCATTGCATCTTGTGATTTTTGCATCCAGTACACCTCCAGGTTTGTTATGTAATTATTTTGTGTATTATAAACTCCTGAGTGCTGTGCTGGCCTGTAGCCTGTAAACAAATGTCTTTTGTTTTCTCATTGGGTGATGAAAGTTCTTTCTGTAGAACTTAATGAATTCAGTGCAAATCTTCCTCTGTTTCTTCTCTCACTTTTACTGTTATCACTGTTTTGTTTGCCCGGTTATCATTATCATTAAACGAATTTCATCAGTGTAATAAATCTGTTGCGGTGGAAACTTAAATTTGTATGATCTTGGAGAACTTGGAGTGTGTGTTTTGGCCGACTTTATCTGTGCACTATTGTGTTCAAAATTTGTTAGGCTCTTTGATATTCTACTCTGGGAAACTGTATGGCACACAATCATACCTAAGCTGGTAGATGACAGAGTACCATTATATATTTATTTATTTTTCTCTTGACTAAATTTCCCTGTAAAATTGAAGCAGCTTTTCATACTTTTTTTTAATATTGGATAGTTGAAGTAACACAAAGATGTGCACATAGGCCTGTACTGACCTATTCTTATCCAATTTCTACACAATTTAAAACCTTTGCATTATATTTAGCAGTTGTTTTTACACCTCTGCACTCGGTCATTACACCGTAGAGATGTATCAGACATCTGTATCCGCGGAACATCCGCACAGTTTCTTAAATCAGCATTTTTCTGTAAACAGACATTTGTGTATGCATCCGCATCCGCGGATGTCTGAATTTTCACATCCGATACATCTCTTACACTGTATACTTTAAGGATCAAAACCAAAGTGTAAAACATCAGGGAGTAAATGAAACATCAAATGACAAAGTAATGTGGCAGATCACTGGCACTACTAGACAAAGTGTGTCCCACAATATGACAGTAATACTGGTTCTCTGTTAATAAGTGTTTTTCCACCATTTGTTTTCATATTTGTTTAACTATTAAAACATTTAAATCCCTTTCTGGATTTTGCTTCTGTTGTACCGTTGTCTAGCTTTATACACTTAGTTACTGCTCTTATGGTAAAGGAATATTTCCCAATATGTTTTAGGTTTGTAGTTTTCATTCACTTGTGGATCAATCCCTGGAAGAGGATATATTTGCAGTGGTGTATTTTGTTTCAAGCTTTCTTGTCTTGTTCTTTGATTCTCCAGGGATAAGAACTCTTGTTCATGGTGGTTTTTTTCATAGATAAAGGAGTAATGCAAAATGGTTTTACCTGTTTGGGGTTGAGGGGGTGAGATCTAGCTTTTGTTTCCACCTCTTAATCTATGATTTATGTCAATTAGCTCTTTCATATATTTTTGAACTTCTGTATAGATTTTACATCCACTTCATGCACTTCATTCTAATTTACCATTTTTATGATGTAATGTACATGGGCATGTGTGCTTAAATATGTATGCATTTGCATACTTGCACGTGTGTGTATGTATGTATGCATGTATAATAAATACTTTTTTCTCATATTTGAGGACTGCAGAATTAAAACTTCTTTCAGTATTTTACCACTTGTCCTAATGTTACAATATATCAAATTTACTTAAAAGTTTTCCAAAAAATTTCAGTTCTGAAATCATGACCCACATTTTCTAGGATTTAATTAAGATTGATCTTATTACAATTCCTTCAGTCTTCTTTTCCTGACTCCATTTTTCCCTTTTCATTCTATTTACCCTCTCCTTTCCCTCTTTGGCAGTGTAGCTCCCTTTCATTTCACTTCTCTCTTTCCCCTGTCCTTCCTCATCTCCCCTCCTTCCCACCACTGTCCTCCAAATCAAATTTACTGTGTACTATATTCTCCTTTCCTAGTCATTTCTCCTTTACACCCTCATTCTTCTCTCTTTTTCCTTAAGTTTCCTTTCTAGCTTTTAACCCTTTCAGGGCTTCAGACATACAAGTACGGCTTACGCACCAGTATTTTTGACGTACTAGTACACCTAAATTCTAGCGCCCTCAAATCTAGTGAGAGAAAGCTGGTAGGCCTACATATGAAAGAATGGGTCTATGTGGTCAGTGTGCGCAGAATAAAAAAAATCCTGCAGCACGCAGTGTGTAATGAGAAAAAAAAACTGACCGTGTTTTTTGGATTAAAACAGCGACTTTGCACTGTATTTTCATATGGTATTTATTGTTGTATTCTAGTTTTCCTGGTCTCGTTTTATAGAATGGAAGACATATTACAGAAATTGAGATGATTTTGGCTGGTTTTACAATGAAAAATACCTTGAAATTGAGCTCAAAGTAGCAGAAATGTTCAATTTTTACCAAAGTTCAAAAGTAAACAAATCATGCTAAGCATCCAATACACGTCAACTGGTGAGTCTAATATTCTTTCACAAGTGTGTCGATATTATTTGTACCATTTCTACACTAATGCAGTAGTCTGCATAACAGTAAATCTTCTATTTTTTGTGAGAATAAAAATTCAAAGTCGAAAGCAAAAGAATGTAAGAGGGGCATGGGGACGTGACTAATGAACAGAGGAAATGTTATTTTAGTGCCGGGAATGTCTTTCTTGTTTATTCTGGACCCTGTTTGGAAATTGGCATCTTTTGAAATTTGTGTGAAATTGGCAAAATTGCTAAATTCTGACCACTGTATTGGATAGTTGAAATCGGTAAATGGGTGTTTTTTTGTACTCATTCAATAGAAAAAATGGAGTTCTAGCGAAATAGTTACGATTTTTGACGACTAGTACACTGGAATTGGCCGAAAATAGGGCTCAAAGTGGGCAAAATTGCCGATGCATAAACATCGTTGAGACCGCTAACTTCGCAAGAGCATAATTCCGTAAGTTTTCCATCAAATTTCATACTTTTGGTGTCATTATGATCAGGAAAATATTCTCTTATCTTTTTATAAGATTTTTTTTTTTTTTTTTTTTTTTTTTTTTTTTTTTTTTTTTTTTTTTTTTTTTTTTTTTTTTAAATTTGGGCGACCTTGAGAACAAGTCTGGGAGAGGGCCTGGGGACCCTAAAAGGGTTAAAATGGTATAAGATTTGGACGAGTTTGGGAGGGTGCGTAAAGGTAGAAAGTTGAAAGTGAACATAGATAAGAGTATGATGAGGGCATCAAACAATTTAGATACAGAAAAATTGGATATCACATTGGAAGGAGGGAATATGGAAGAAGTGAATGTTTTCAGATATTTGGGAGTTGACTTGTCAGTGGATGGGTTTATGAAGGATGAGGTTAACTATAGAATTGATGAAGGAAAAAAAAAAAAGTGATGCATTGAGGTATCTGTGGAGACGAAAAACGTTATCCGTGGAGGCAAAGAAGGGAATGTACGAGAGTATAGTGGTACCAACACTCTCACATGGGTGTGAAGTACGGGTTGTAAATGCTGCAGCGAGGACGTGGCTGGAGGTAGTGGAGACCTCGTATCTTAAGGGCAATGTGTGGTGTAAATATTATGCAGAGAATTCGTAGTGTGGAAATTAGGAAGAGGAGGTGGTGTGGAGTTAATAAAAGTATTAGTCAGAGGGCTGAAGAGGGGCTGTTGAGGTGGTTTGGTTATTTAGAGAGACTGGACCAAATTAGAATGAATGACTTGGTGAGCATATAAATGCGTTGGGGAAGGAAGGCAGGATAGGGGTCATCCCTGAAAAGGTTGGAGGGGGGGGGGTACATTCTGAAGCCTACCCATCACCCTTTTATCCTCAATACATAATCTAACAAACTGCCTTCGTTACATGCTATATCATGTCTTGTATACTTATTTATCCTCTTTTTCATAAAATATGTATTACTTATTACCAAACCTCTTTCTACATATAGCTCAATTAAAGGCTCCCCATTTTCATTTACCCCTGGCACCCCAAATTTACATACTACTCACTCCCTCTACAACATTTTTACCCACTTGAGCATTGAGATCCCCAGCCACAAATACTCTCACTTGGTTCAAAACTCCCCATGCACTCACTCAACATTTCCCAAAATCTCTCTCTCTCCTCTACACTTCTCTCTTTTCAGGTGCATAAACATTTACTATAACCCACTTTTCACATACAACCCTTATTTTACTCCATATAATCCTTGAATTTAAACATTTATATTTCTTCGTTTCCTGCCATAACTTATCCTTCAAAATTATTGCTACTCCTTCCTTAGTTCTAACTCTATTTGAAACCCCTGACCTAATCCCATTTATTTCTCCATGCTGAAACTCTCCTACCCCCCTTCAGCTTTGTTTCACTTAGTCAGGACATCCAGCTTCTTTTCATTCATAACATCCATAATCATCTCTTTCTTATCATTTGCACTACATCCACGCACATTCAAACATCTCGCTGGCAGTTTTCTTCTTTTTATTTTAAGTAGGCTATAGAGGAAATGGGGTTACTAGCCCATTACTCTCTATATTTTAGTTGACTTTTACAACATGCATGGCTTATTTAGGAAAGAGTTTTATTCCTCTTCCCCATGGATGTGAAAGGAAGGATAATAAGAACAAGAACTTTTAAGATAAAATCAAAGAAAACTCAGATGAGTGTGTATACATAAACATGTACATGCCATGTGTAGTGTGACATAAGTGTAAGTAGAAGTAGCAAGACATACCTGAAATCTTGCATGTTTATTGAGACAGAAAAAGACACCAGCAATCTTACCATCATGTAAAACAAATACAAACTTCCATTTTACACTCAATTGGCAGTACGGTAGTATCTCCCTGGGCGGTTGCTGTCTACCAACCTACTACCTAATTATTTGGAGTAAATCTATTTCAATGATGTCTTTAATTTTAAATTTACCTTTCAATTACTATATTGAATTACTAAATTACACCCCAGTATTTAGTAAATTTATAATTAATAAATTTATATATATGTAATACAGTGGACCCCCGGTTAACAATATTTTTTCACTCCAGAAGTATGTTCAGGTGCCAGTACTGACCGAATTTGTTCCCATAAGGAATATTGTGAAGTAGATTAGTCCATTTCAGACGCCCAAACATACACGTACGAACGCACTTACATAAATACACTTACATAATTGGTCGCATTCGGAGGTGATCGTTATGCGGGGGTCCACTGTATATTCCATTAGAGTATTTCTGTAATGTTTATAAACAGTGAATTTCACAATCTCTGCTTATTATTTAGGAGTAATGCATTTCACTCTGTACAGCTACATTAATAATAATGCCACCACTATTTACAGTCACAATGATTCTAATATAATTTCTTGTGAAAGCCCTCTTAATTTATTAGTTGTCATGCATAACCACTTCCTGATCTACTCTAAATACAAAACCAACCCACTGATCTTTAAATACCTAACCAACACTCGGATATCCTTGATATACATAACTAACCTTGACTGATTTCCTGCAAGTACATAAACTACCTCTGATCTACTGTATATACATAAGCCCACCTGATCTTCTAACATGTAACCACTCTCTGATCATCTTGAAATGTATTCCCTCCTCCCCTGATGGTTAAATGCATAACCAAAACCCCTTAATAAATTATAAATACGTACCTTTTCCTGATCTCTCATAACCACTTCCCAGATATCTAAATTCAACTAAATTATCTGCTTCTAAAAAAAAGTACCAAATTACTCTTAATAATAAACCTGGCTGATTCTTAGGTAAGAATGTACAGTGGACCCCCGGTTAACGATCACCTCCAAATGCGACCAATTATGTAAGTGTATTTATGTAAGTGCGTTTGTATGTGTATGTTTGACGGTCTGAAATGGACTAACGTACTTCACAATATTCCTTATGGGAAAAAATTCGGTCAGTACTGGCACCTGAACATGCTTCTGGAATGAAAAAATATCGTTAACCGGGGGTCCACTGTATATATATTTTTGGGTTGAGGACAGTTGTGGCTGTCTAATCAGAGGGAAACTTAAGTACAAATTAGAATGAGTGTAAGAATACGTATTGTGTGGAGACTTGGGACCAAGTTTAATTCAAGGTTACTTGGTAGATTTCCAGAATGATGTAATATAGGTGATAAAATTCTTCTCTCCAATTCTGTCATAAACCGTATTTTATCATTTTGTTTCAGGAGAAAAAGAGTCTTCATCATCCAAAGAAGTTCGACGGGGGCGCAGTGATCCCAGTGCTGTGATACTGGAACAGTTGGTGTCACCTCTGCATGATCTAGGAGGCTCCAGACCACGTCCTCCTCATTCTTCAACACCACCAGCCACTTCAGACAAGGATACAGATGGACCACTGATTAGTGTGTCTGACTCTGGCCTGGATATGCGTGTAAGTGCTTCCATTACTAATGAATGCTAGCAGTGTTTCATTTGGACTTGTTATGCCATTGTTGTCATTATGCAGGATAAGAGGTTTTATGCATTTTTTTCTGGTGGTGGTGGTGGTGGTGGTGGTTGTGGTGGTGTAAAGCAGGTACAGTAATAGGGGTAATCATGAACTTCCATCATATTTACATTCCAAATTTACTTTGCATTTTCAGAACTTGTTCGCTGGTCAGTGTGTATCAGCTCTACAGAGTCTAGGTGGCGGTGAACAACTTATAGATGTGTGCCTCAAATTGCCCACAATCATAAAATTTACCCAACGGTACAAAGATCTACTAGAAGGCAAAGGACATGGCTTTCCAACCAATATTTCGGAGGCACTTGTTGTTAAAGCTGGGTGAGTTATAAAATTGTGGAGCATTGTGGACTTCCTCAGGTTTTCTGTGTAAGGGGAACCCTTGTACAGTACGTTATAAAATAAATAAAACTTGCAAATAACAGTGTTTAGAGAGGAAACTCGGGACAGCATTTTCAGTTTGCCCTGGCTCATTGTTAAAAAAAAAAATCAATTATTTCCTAAATTCAGTGTTAAAAAAAATACAGCATATACTGTATCTGTTTTGTCATAAATTGAGGCTACTTAAATATTTTGATGTTGTAATGAAAAATGGGGCATAATAGGAATTCCATTGCTTGGATGCTGTTACAGTATTTGATAAGACTATTTTGGTGGGAAATGTCCAATCCAGTTAAATATTTTTTATCATTTTTGCTGTACTCATAAATGCAGGTGGGAAATATCCAATGCAGTTAAATTTTTTATCATTTTGCTGTACTCATAAATACAGTAAATATAGGTAGGTAATTGCATTGTTCTCTGCACAGCTTGTCTTCAATGGTGATTTTTATTTTCAGACTGAACACCGTTGTGGTGGAACTTAGCACTGTTTGGCGTGTTATGTCCCTGCCTCTCCTGGAGCCTTTGAATTCTATTCGCTTACAGAAGCTCTCCACAATTGCAATGGCTGCCTTGCTTGCTGCTCTTACAGTTTCTTGTGCCACTGCTATTATTGCAGTAGCATCACAGGGCACATCTTCATCCAAGGTTAGCATGCCCCTTTAGTTAATGCAATAGGCAATTTTAGTGACTACCAAAATAATCGTTCCAGAAAAGTCCTCTAAAGGGACGTTCTTTGATGCTGGTGAGGGGCTCTTCATCCAAGCATGTCCCCTTGATCTTGGTCCTATTAATTCAGTCTGTCATTCTGTCCTCCCTTTTTTGGGACTGAATCTGATAGCCTTTCATACCCCAGGCACTATATAACATTATGGGTTTAGCACTCTCCCTTGAATATGTAGTGGTAATTTCCAGAAAAGTCAGAAACCGTTGTAAATTTATTACTTTTGTCTTCACTCCATGGCGTAAAACAAATTTGATTTTTTTTTAAATTTGTGAATGTTACTAAAGGTATTTTCAGAGACCACATTGTTAAAATTTTTATTAATAATATTGTTGGCTTCTGCTTACCTTTCATACAATAAATTATAGATCATCTGTTGCTCTTGAGAAATGGATGGTTTGCCATTTTTTTCAGTTACACTAGATGACTACAAAATTCTTTTAGATCCTCTTTTTTTTTTTTTTTTGCACATTCCATTTTACCATCATCTGGTTAGGTGGTGGACGGAACAAGACCATTGAATAACATTAAATGCCGAATAATCAATCACTGGGTAACTGATGACTTGCAGTACTGTATTGCACACACCTGAAGGCTGATTAAAATATCTGAATATTTCTGAAGCCGTTCAACTTCAGTTATAACTTTATATGAAGCATGTTTTGTAATTGGTGATTTTTATATTTGTTTTCTTGGACACCACAGCCCCCACTTGAAGATGATTTTTGTTTGTTTTCTTAGACCCCCACCATCCCCACGTGAAGATGATTTTTATACGAATTTGTTTTCTTAGACGCCTCCGCCGCCACGTGAAGATGATTTGGATACTGCAGCTCCTGCAATTGCTGAAAAAGCTCTGGATCTCTTCAATGTAATTCTAAATGCTGTGCGCTCTTCAACAAGAGCTGGCGGACATGTATGTACCTGTATTTTGACTCTAGCATACAGCTGACATTCGTTTCAGTGCTAAATTCCTGATTAATTCTTCATACTCTTCCTCTTACAACTAATGCCCTCCCTCCCTCTTTCTTCTCTTTCCCTTTCTCCCCCTCTCTTCTCTTTTCTCCAGTTTCTTGAGAAAATCAGATTCTTAGCATTGTCATAATATTTTTAATCATCTTTTTTTAAAAATAGATATTGTTATAAGAAGAGCAGAGTATATGGAGAGTAAAAGAAAGGTAAAGAGAGTGGTGAGAGAGTGCAAAAGGAGAGCAGATGATAGAGTGGGAGAGGCACTGTCAAGAAATTTTAATGAAAATAAGAAAAAATTTTGGAGTGAGTTAAACAAGTTAAGAAAGCCTAGGGAAAATATGGATTTGTCAGTTAAAAACAGAGTAGGGGAGTTAGTAGATGGGGAGATGGAGGTATTGGGTAGATGGCGAGAATATTTTGAGGAACTTTTAAATGTTAAGGAAGAAAGAGGCAGTAATTTCATGCACTGGTCAGGGAGGTATACCATCTTTTAGGAGTGAAGAAGAGCAGAATGTAAGTGTGGGGGAGGTACGTGAGGCATTACGTAAAATGAAAGGGGGTAAAGCAGCTGGAACTGATGGGATCATGACAGAAATGTTAAAAGCAGGGGGGGATATAGTGTTGGAGTGGTTGGTACTTTTGTTTAATAAATGTATGAAAGAGGGGAAGGTACCTAGGGATTGGCAGAGAGCATGTATAGTCCCTTTATATAAAGGGAAAGGGGACAAAAGAGACTGTAAAAATTATAGAGGAATAAGCTTACTGAGTATACCAGGAAAAGTGTACGGTAGGGTTATAATTGAAAGAATTAGAGGTAAGACAGAATGTAGGATTGCGGATGAGCAAGGAGGTTTTAGAGTGGGTAGGGGATGTGTAGATCAGGTGTTTACATTGAAGCATATATGTGAACAGTATTTAGATAAAGATAGGGAAGTTTTTATTGCATTTATGGATTTAGAAAAGGCATATGATAGAGTGGATAGAGGAGCAATGTGGCAGATGTTGCAAGTATATGGAATAGGTGGTAAGTTATTAAATGCTGTAAAGAGTTTTTATGAGGATAGTGAGGCTCAGGTTAGGGTGTGTAGAAGAGAGGGAGACTACTTCCCGGTAAAAGTAGGTCTTAGACAGGGATGTGTAATGTCACCATGGTTGTTTAATATATTTATAGATGGGGTTGTAAAGGAAGTAAATGCTAGGGTGTTTGGGAGAGGGGTGGGATTAAATTATGGGGAATCAAATTCAAAATGGGAATTGACAGTTACTTTTTGCTGATGATACTGTGCTTATGGGAGATTCTAAAGAAAAATTGCAAAGGTTAGTGGATGAGTTTGGGAATGTGTGTAAAGGTAGAAAGTTGAAAGTGAACATAGAAAAGAGTAAGGTGATGAGGGTGTCAAATGATTTAGATAAAGAAAAATTGGATATCAAATTGGGGAGGAGGAGTATGGAAGAAGTGAATGTTTTCAGATACTTGGGAGTTGACGTGTCGGCGGATGGATTTATGAAGGATGAGGTTAATCATAGAATTGATGAGGAAAAAAAGGTGAGTGGTGCGTTGAGGTATATGTGGAGTCAAAAAACGTTATCTATGGAGGCAAAGAAGGGAATGTATGAAAGTATAGTAGTACCAACACTCTTATATGGGTGTGAAGCTTGGGTGGTAAATGCAGCAGCGAGGAGACGGTTGGAGGCAGTGGAGATGTCCTGTTTAAGGGCAATGTGTGGTGTAAATATTATGCAGAAAATTCGGAGTTTGGAAATTAGGAGGTGTGGAGTTAATAAAAGTATTAGTCATAGGGCAGAAGAGGGGTTGTTGAGGTGGTTTGGTCATTTAGAGAGAATGGATCAAAGTAGAATGACATGGAAAGCATATAAATCTATAGGGGAAGGAAGGCGGGGTAGGGGTCGTCCTCGAAAGGGTTGGAGAGAGGGGGTAAAGGAGGTTTTGTGGGTAAGGGGCTTGGACTTCGAGCAAGCGTGCGTGAGCGTGTTAGATAGGAGTGAATGGAGACGAATGGTACTTGGGACCTGACGATCTGTTGGAGTGTGAGCAGGGTAATATTTAGTGAAGGGATTCAGGGAAACCGGTTATTTTCATATAGTCGGACTTGAGTCCTGGAAATGGGAAGTACAATGCCTGCACTTTAAAGGAGGGGTTTGGGATATTGGCAGTTTGGAGGGATATGTTGTGTATCTTTATATGTGTATGCTTCTAGACTGTTGTATTCTGAGCACCTCTGCAAAAACAGTGATAATGTGCGAGTGTGGTGAAAGTGTTGAATGATGATGAAAGTATTTTCTTTTTGGGGATTTTCTTTCTTTTTTGGGTCACCCTGCCTCGGTGGGAGACGGCCGACTTGTTGAAAAAAAAAAAAAAAAAATATTGTTATTAGGCATAGTTGCCCCTTTGCCTTGAGAGTTTAATGTTTAAAATATGGTACAGTTTACCTAATCTTTCATATACCATTGCTGACAAATCCACTCCCAAATATCTGAACACATTTGCTTCCTTCATGCTCCCTCCCTCCAGTCTGATATCCAATCTTTCATTACCTATTTTTTTCATCCTCATCAACTTGCCAGTATTCACAGTGATTGGGAAGGAGAGTGATAAAGTGTTAGATAATATTACTTGGTTGAAAGTGCTTTTTTTTAACACATTGGCTGTTTCCCACCAAAGCAGGATAACCTAAAAAGAAAGAATAACCCAAAAAGAAAGAAAAAACTTTAATCATCATTCAGCACTTTCACCATCACTTACATAATCACTATATTTGCAGAGGTGCTCAGACTCAACAGCTCCTAAACTACCAATATCCTGAACATCCCCTTTAACCCTTAAACAGTCCAAACAGATCGACGTTCAAATTCGTAGTGCTACAAAAGTAGATCTACTTTTTTTTACATATTTTCAAATATAACAAAAAAAAAAAAAGTAGATAAAAGTTTTTTTTACATGTTTTCACATGTAAAACAAAACAAAAAAAAAAAATCTACATTTTTTTACATACTTTCAGATGTTGAAAAAACGTATATATACGTTTGGACCATTTAAGGGTTAAAGTGCAGGCACTGTACGTACTTCCCATTTCCAGGACTCAGATCCGGCTAACTGGTTTCCCTGAATCCCTTCACAAAATATTACCCTGTTCACACTCCAGCAGCTCATGTTGTATGATGATGTTTTTCTTTATTGTGTCGCCCTGCCTCGGTGTGAGATGGTCAGCATGTTGGAAGAAAGAAAAGATGATAATACTCTCAAGTGACTGATAAGACTAGTAGACAAGATGGTGATTGCTCTTTGTGGCATTTATGGATTTGGAAAAGGCGTATGACAGGGTGGATAGGGGGGCAATGTGGCAGATGTTGCAGGTGTATGGTGTAGGAGGTAGGTTACTGAAAGCAGTGAAGAGTTTTTACGAGGATAGTGAGGCTCAAGTTAGAGTATGTAGGAAAGAGGGAAATTTTTTCCCAGTAAAAGTAGGCCTTAGACAAGGATGTGTGATGTCACCGTGGTTGTTTAATATATTTATAGATGGGGTTGTAAGAGAAGTAAATGCGAGGGTCTTGGCAAGAGGCGTGGAGTTAAAAGATAAAGAATCACACACAAAGTGGGAGTTGTCACAGCTGCTCTTTGCTGATGACACTGTGCTCTTGGGAGATTCTGAAGAGAAGTTGCAGAGATTGGTGGATGAATTTGGTAGGGTGTGCAAAAGAAGAAAATTAAAGGTGAATACAGGAAAGAGTAAGGTTATGAGGATAACAAAAAGATTAGGTGATGAAAGATTGAATATCAGATTGGAGGGAGAGAGTATGGAGGAGGTGAACGTATTCAGATATTTGGGAGTGGACGTGTCAGCGGATGGGTCTATGAAAGATGAGGTGAATCATAGAATTGATGAGGGAAAAAGAGTGAGTGGTGCACTTAGGAGTCTGTGGAGACAAAGAACTTTGTCCTTGGAGGCAAAGAGGGGAATGTATGAGAGTATAGTTTTACCAACGCTCTTATATGGGTGTGAAGCGTGGGTGATGAATGTTGCAGCGAGGAGAAGGCTGGAGGCAGTGGAGATGTCATGTCTGAGGGCAATGTGTGGTGTGAATATAATGCAGAGAATTCGTAGTTTGGAAGTTAGGAGGAGGTGCGGGATTACCAAAACTGTTGTCCAGAGGGCTGAGGAAGGGTTGTTGAGGTGGTTCGGACATGTAGAGAGAATGGAGCGAAACAGAATGACTTCAAGAGTGTATCAGTCTGTAGTGGAAGGAAGGCGGGGTAGGGGTCGGCCTAGGAAGGGTTGGAGGGAGGGGGTAAAGGAGGTTTTGTGTGCGAGGGGCTTGGACTTCCAGCAGGCATGCGTGAGCGTGTTTGATAGGAGTGAATGGAGACAAATGGTTTTTAATACTTGACGTGCTGTTGGAGTGTGAGCAAAGTAACATTTATGAAGGGATTCAGGGAAACCGGCAGGCCGGACTTGAGTCCTGGAGATGGGAAGTACAGTGCCTGCACTCTGAAGGAGGGGTGTTAATGTTGCAGTTTAAAAACTGTAGTGTAAAGCACCCTTCTGGCAAGACAGTGATGGAGTGAATGATGGTGAAAGTTTTTCTTTTTCGGGCCACCCTGCCTTGGTGGGAATCGGCCGGTGTGATAATAAAAAAAAAAAAATATAAATTTTGCTGATAAATTGTTCTCTTTGAGATGCAATAATTTGGATCTTGGTAATAAATTTTTTTCAATACAAATGCCCATCGGGGGTAGGGGAAATACGTTTTGAATCTGAATAATTCGAGTTCCCCTTTTTAATGGTTTGGTCCTGATAACCTCCTGTTCCCCAGGTGCTGCATGACCCCTTTGGGTTTAGCTCTTTTTCATGAATACAAATATTTAGTAGTTAATGTATTCCTTGACAGCATGTGCAAAACCTGCAGTTGATGGGGTCTTGGTTAATAATGACTGGACTCCACCAGTTGATGCTTGTTGTCTCTTCTGCTGCTGCAATGCAAGACAAAAAAGATGATAAAGGACGAAGCCCCAGCAAAAAAGATTCTGCTTCTGCAAGGATAAATCTAACAAAGGTGTAAGTACATAAAATAGTTTTTTCTCCTTGAATGTGTACCCAATAAAAACTTTGCTGTAAACTGTTTGTATTATTTAGAAAATGTAGTTTATAAGCCTTAACCCCTTACTGTGGCACACCTGGAAAAAAAGTCTGTGACAAGATTTAAAAAAAAAAAAGAAAAAAGAAAAGGAGTGCATTTTTCTGAATTGAATAAAACTAAAATTTGTCTTCTAACACTATGTACAAGGGATACTTATAATATTTCAGTGGTTTGAAGGTGTAATACTAAAAATTTGTAAACAAGTCATTGACTTAATTTTAATATCCTGGGTAAATCTACTTGGTGTACTTTGTGGATAAATTCCACCATCTAGGGAGGTTAGGGGTGGAACAACGTCTGATTTCATTGTTTACTTATGTTAGTGAGGCTTTTTGGTATTTCAGACAGTCGTCACTTGTGTATTTGACCATGATGCACTGTGTGGACTCTTCTGACCTTAGTTATGAACTGATTGTAGAAGATCCAAAAAGATTAGCTGTCAAAAATAGTCAGGTAGCAGATTTGAAGGTGTAAAAATTGTTTGTACTTGTATGCCAGACATGTGACATAACGTGTGTGCTAGTATGTTGGACAGAGTTAAAAGGTTAATTGTGTATGCCTTTGAGGTCAAAAATGCTGATTCAACAAGCAATTAGATGCTACATTGGCACGAAATATATTGATAGATAACCCACACATACCAAAGAAACTAGATGTTTCAGTCAGTCTTGGACCATTATCAAGTCAGTGTTGTGAGGAAAAATTGAAGTCCAGAAGAAAAATTATAAAGAGGAAAGGAAAGAAAGTTAGAAGACTGGTTAGGTGACAAATAATAGAGAAAGACAGGAGTTTTGTGGTGGTCTGTACTCTTGGAAAGACAGCAATTGAAAGAATGCTAGTGAATGTGCTTCCTGTTAGTATTGTCGGTGGTGGTGGTGGTGGTGGCGGTGGCAGCAGTAGCAGTCAACACTTTATTCCAATTATTACTCAAGTATAATTGACTGCTACTGCTGCTGCTGCCACCACCACCACCACCACTGACAATACTAACAGGAAACTCATCATTAGCATTCTTTCAATTGCTGTCTTTCCAAAAGAGTGCAGACCACCACAAAACTCTTGTCTTTCTCTATTATTTTTTGTCACCCAACCAGTCTTCTAACTTTCTTTCCTTTCCTCTTTATAATTTTTCTTCTGGACATTAATTTTTCCTCACAACAAATTGCATCTCAAGTGAAAGTAGATGTGAGAAAACCACCCTCTGCATGTCTCAAAGGGGTGCACAAAATGGAAGGTGAAAGGATCACTTCAGTGGGCCTATTGTCCCATGGTAGGAAGGAAAATAATGATGAGAATACTGGAAACCAGGATAGGTGAATAAAATGCAGAAGCAAATGTAGATGAAAAGTGAAAAAGGCAAGGTCAAGTCAGGTCAAGTCATGTAGGTCAGGTCATGTCATGTCATGTCATGTCATGTCATGTCATGTCATATATCAAGTCAGACTTGTTCTGAAGATTAGAGCATCTGACAATATGTTACGAAAGGCAGTCATCCACCGAAGCAAAATTTGGACAAACACTCATGGTAGCTATGAGTTTAAATGCTGATTCTACAAGACTGCATCTACAAAGACTTGCAGAGGGATAGTTTGAGCAGAGGACCAGTTTATAGCTTTGCTATGATCTCAGACATGACAGAAGAGTGGCCAGTTTCTTCAGCATATTAAGGAAGGGCAAGAGGAGCAGGAAATGGAGAAGACAGATATAAGTAGTCTTAATAATTTTCCCTACTAAATGAGAGAAATTTGTAAATTGTTCCAGCTTCAGTAATGTGACTTTTATTGTTTATGGAAAATAAACCTGGCCTTCAGCCAGAGGCTGAAGATGATGTCTGAGGCCTAAATATACATATCCTTTCCGCTGTTTTATTTCTCATAAATATATTTACCTTTCCTATACTACTTTTTCAGACAACAAGGTTTTGGTGTGGTATGTGTGGCACTAGCCTCTCAAGGTGTAACCCTAATGACTGGACTCTTAGAGGATGTTAAAGTTGAAGGATGGACACCTCCCCGTCCCCCTGAACCTGCTCGCCTAGATCCCTTGGAGGCTTATACAGCGACTGAGCGTTTGTGCCGGTTGTTTTCTGCTGTTCCACTGAATCAGCTGCTGTTTTACCTTGCTACCATTTCATACAGAAAGGTACATATATATAATTTTTTTTATGTACATAATATTCTTGAGATATGTAAGCTAGTCTTAAAGTAATGCCGGTGAAAATTAGTAAAATGTTAATAATAGTGCTAATTTAAAAAATGAGTAATGGGAAACCTCACAATTATGCACAGTACATGATGAAATTAGTTGATTGAATTGAAGTAAAGCATGTCTTGCTTTAATTTTTATTAGTACTGTATCTCAAAATTGTTTGTGCAAGGAATAACATCTTGTAAGAGTGAGGAAGAGCCAGTTATGAGTGTGGGGGAAGTTTGTGAGGCAGTGGGTAGAGTGAAAGGATGTAAAGCAGCTGCGATGAGATAAAGGTAGAATTCTATGTTAAAAGCAGGTGGGGATATAGTTTTGGAGTGGTTGGTGCTTTTATTTAATAAATGCATGGAACAGGGTAAGGTACCTAGGGATTGACAGAGAGCATGCATAGTTCCTTTGTATAATGGCAAAGGAGACAAAAGAGTGCAAAAATTATAGGGGAATAAGTTTGTTGAATATACCTGGTAAAGTGTATGGTAGTTATTGAAAGAATTAAGAATACAACAGATAGTTGGCTTTAGGAAAGGTAGAGGGTGTGTAGACCAAGTGTTTACAGTAAAACATTTAGGAAAACAGTATTTAGATAAGGGCAAAGAGGTTTTTGTGGCATATGTGGATTTGGAAAAGGCGTATGACAGGGTGGATAGGGGGCATTGTGGCAGATGTTGCAAATGAATGCAATAGGAGGTAGGTTACTGAAAACAGTGAAGAGTTTTTACGATGATAGTGAAACTCAGGCTAGAGTTTGTAGGAGAGAGGGAGATTATTTCCCAGTAAAAGTAGGCTTTAGACAAGGATGTGTGATATCACCATGGTTGTTCAGTATATTTATAGATAAGGTTGTAAGAGAAGTGAATGATCGGGTGTTGGCAAGAGGTGTGGGGTTAAAAGATAAAGAATCTAACACAAAGTGGGAGTTGTCACAATTGCTCTTTGCTGATGGCACTATGCTTTTGGGAGATTCTGAAGAGGAGTTTCAGAGGTTGGTGGATAAGTTTTTAGGGTATGTAAAAGAAAAAAAAAAAAAAGTGAATATAGGAAAGAGTAAGATGATGAGGATAACAAAATTAGGTAACAAGATTGGATACCAAATTGAAGGGAGAGAGTATGGAGAAGGTGATTGTATTCATATATTTAGAAATGGACGTGTCAGCAGGTGGTTCTATGAAAGATGAGGCGAGTCATAGAATTGACGAGGGAAAAAAGGCGAGTGGTGCACTGAGGAGTCTGTGGAAACAAAGAACTTTGTCCATAGAAGCAAAGAGAATATAGTTATACCTGCACTCTTATATGGGTGTGAAACATAGGTGGTGAATGTTGCAACAAGGAGAAAGCTGGAGGCAGTGGAGATGTTATGTCTGAGGGCAATGTGTGGTGTGAATATAATGCAGAGAATTTGTAGTTTGGAAATTAGGAGGAGGCGTGGGATTACCAAAACTATTATCCAGAGGGCTGACGAGGGGTTGTTGAGGTGGTTTGGACACGTAGAGAGGATGGAACAAAATAGAATGACTTTGAGTGTATAAATCTGTAGTGGAGGGAAGGCAGGGTAGGCATTGGCCTAGGAAAGGTTGGAGGGAGGGGGTAAAGGTTTTGTGTGCGAGGGGCTTAGACTTCCAGCAAGCGTGTGTGAGCGTGTTAGATAGGAGCAAATGGAGATAAGTGGTTTTTAGGACTTGACATGCTATTGGAATGTGAGTAAGGCAACATTTATGAAGGATTCAGGGAAACCGGCAGGCTGGACTGGAGTCCTGGAGATGGAAAGTACAGCGTCTGCATTCTGAAGGAGGGGTGTTAATGTTGCAGTTTTATAACTGCAGTGTAAGTGTACCTCTGGCAAGACAGTGATGGAGTGAATGATGATGAAAGTTTTTCTTTTTTAGGGCACCCTGCCTTGTTGGAAGACGGCCAATGTGTTAATAAATAAAAAAAAAATTAAATTATTGCTGATGCCAGGTAAAGATACCATGAAGTATTGGGTGTAATATTTTATACTTCCTTTCCTGCATTAGTTTTCATTATATTTCATGCTTGACAAAATTTTTCTTACAAGGCTTGCAGTCTAAAGCGAACCCATCGTGCCATGGGTGAAGGAGATACCTTCAGCATCTCAGACTCGACTACATACTATGAGGATGACTTCTCTGAAGGGAGTCTTGGAGAGGAAGGTGAGTAGTGTTGTCTTACGCATGATTGTAGAAAAGGTTCTAAATAATAATGAACCCAAAGGATTTTCATGTACTCTAAAATTTAAGATTGTTTTATTAATTTAATAATATGCATGGTTCGTCTGAGGACTTGTCTTTTCTCTCTCTCCTAGGAAAAAAAGTTAAAAGTTATCCAAGGTATTAGAAAGTTTGAATATTATATAAATTTTTATAAGGTTAGGTTAGTTGTGGTGGAAAATTGTTTACACAAAAATAAATTGCATAATTTTAGCTCGCCCTTTTCCTTCAGGGACAGTCCTTCAGGTGATCCCTATTCACATTTAATAATAATATCAACATCTGCTACCTTGTGATTATTGGGATACTATTTCTCCAATGGATTAATATTCATAGGTGATTGATAGAGCTCTTAACTAAGATTTCTAAGATCTTTATGAAATTCATGCAATGAATTTCAAAGAAAAACTTTGTGAATAATATGGATTTTTTTGGGTAAGGTATAAAATCATGATTGTAAAATTTTACAGGGGGATCTAGATCAATTGAACACAAAATGAAAAAAAAAAAAAAAGAAAAAAATATATAATGATTTTCAATGTTGTTGGAATTGGGTGAAACCATGAAGAGGCCACATATAGTTTATAATTGCTTGGTAAAATTTCAAGAAGATTGGATGAAAGAAACCTTGGTGATCATAAGTCATCATTGACGAAATAATACAACGCATTATGAGAGAACCTACGTTATGCTGACTAATTTTTAAATGCCCCAGTATTTGGATGGGAAAATAGTAAAAGAATTGTAACATAGAAGATTACAATATTATATGCAGATTGCGACTTACAAAATAGAAAAAGCTCAGACTAAAAATGTCAGAAGTGCTCCTTGGATGACAGGGGAAAGAGAGGGGATATAACTACATAATACTATATAAATTTGTTAATGTATATGAGAAAGTAGTCAAGATTTGTTTGTCCCAGCAATAGAGAGATAAAGTTGCCATAATTTCAGACTGCAAGAAGCAATGCAGAAACGATACATTCCTAAAAATTATTTCTACACAAATAGTGGTAGGTTACAGGCATGAAATCAGATAAGCTTCAGCTGAATGTATGATGCATGTAAAGAAGATGATATCACAAGCATGTATACTATTTTTGTAACTACCAGTAGGTAATTCCAAACATTATTGAAAGAAGTGCAAATGTGCTGAAAGTTGTGGCTGGTACAGGGAAGTGGTTTTTAATATATTGGTATTGGTGTTTCCTAAGATTTGCAACTGCTATCCTTGGTATCACTTCTATAATTGCTTCTAAACATTTCAGGTTGCAGTTATGCACCAACCATCTCAACATTTAAATGCTTGACCCTGCATTAGACCTTGAAATTGTGCTTGTCTTTTGACACACACCTACAGGACAGGACAGGGGAGTTGTGATAATTGGGTGGGAGGGTTTAACTGCCAGTTGACTTTTAGTGATCCTCTTTATATCCAGCTTTTTCAGAAATTGTGGTATTCACAAGGTAAGTTAAGTTGTTTCAAGAGAGTTTTTAAATGCTTTTGCTACCAGTCTTTTTGGAGAGTTAGTGGCAACATCCAAATACTTTCTAATGAATCTTGCATGTAAACCTATTTGTAAGTAATAAAACATTTACTGAAGAATTATGCTTGTTCATATAGCTGGTGTTTTTTTTTTTTATTGTTTACTTTTTACCAGGCAGCTTTAATTTAATCCAAGGTGTCCTGTTATCTGCTTAAATTTTGTAAATTTTCCATCTAACATCCCAGTTGGATCAGTTACCAGATATCTGACATGAAGAGTATGCTCGTTGCTTTTTCAACTGTATCTTGCATCATTTTTGCTTTGATTGGGGTCCCTTGTGCTTGCTGATGTGTTTTATTATCTCTGGGCGATAATTACCAGCTAGTGGGGCCAGCAGTGACCACCAGCAAATGAAGTGCTCACTGGTACTGATTACTTCTGCCTTCATTTGCTGCTGGTGGTTACTGGTTATCTAATAACTGATGATGGTTGCTGAGAGGCAGTCAGTTGCTGGTTCAACTGATAATACTGATACGTCCCCCCAAGGGAGGTTCCTTGATGCTGGTGAGGGACTCTTGATCTAGGGTATTGGATCTTTACTCCAGTTCTCTGAATTAAGCCTGAATGCCCTCCCCCCCAACAGGCACAGCATAATCCCTATGGGTTTAGCACTCCCCCATGATAATACTAATACAATACTGATATGTAATGCAGAGAAAAGCTGTAATTTCACTTAGAGTACTTATAGAAAAATAATGTAAAAATGATATTGTACTCTAATGAAGGAAGTAGACTGTTTTGATAGGGAGACGAGTATTAGCAGAGATTATTTCTGTGTCTGTAAAACATGCACATTGGCTATCTTGACAATCCAGTGGTTGCCTCAAAGCTCTCGCTGATTGTTTTAATCGCACAAAATGTGAAGTTACCAATATTAATTTAACCTGCAGGAACTGACTACCTTTATTTTAGTAATTCACCATTTTGGTTTATCATAGTTCATTTAGGTGTTTAATTGCCTCCCTGTGTTCATTGTACGGTTCAGTGTAAAAATAGAATTCCATCCAACTAATAAGTTTCTCGCCTGCTGCAGGTCCTTTGGTCAGATAAGACTGATACTCTGTATTATCACAACTCTTAATTTTAATAATGGGGAAAGGTGAGGGCACAGTCTTAATAGGACAAAGAATTTCAGTGCTCTCCATAGGAATTTTATTAATTCAGTTTAAAATTGCCGCTGGAGGCAAAAACAAACAGTTCCACCAAAAAAAGTAGATTGTAATTGTTTTAACCTTATGCAAACTTGCGTCAATTTTTGTGTTCTTTAGTTCACAAATATTACATCTGCCCCAGGATTTTCAGGACTGTGCCATCATAAGGTTGTAGGTCATTGCTTACAGACAATATGAGCATTAATGGTCATTTTTTTATATTCTGTACATTAGCAATGTCTTGTTTTTTAGGCCCCATATAAATTGATGCATGTATTTTATCCTCATATGGGTCTTTTGTAAAAATAGTTTTTATATATGTGGTTGTAAAAGAAGTGAATACTTGTGTTAGGGAAACGTATGGTCTTTAATATATGATTTAATGGAAAATGAGATTGCCTCAACTGCTACTTGCAAATAATAAGTGCTGTTTACAAATGACAATTCTGTTGGGAAATAGCTGTGCTATTTGGAAATAGTGCTATGTGGAGATTCAGAAGAAGAGCTACTGAACTTGAAGGATTTTGGGTGTCTTCAGAATGTAAAAGGGAAATTGAGAGTGTATGAAAACACTGATGATGCTAAGGAGTGAAGGATATATGATTAAAAGAAATTTGCAGATGTTTTGTAGAATCTGTGGGCAGAGTGCCAATGGATGCTCTGAGTGTATCAGAATACAGTATAGAGGACTAAATGTGCTCATAATTATAGAGCAAGAAATAAGGGTTGAAGAAATTAGAAGATGGTGGGGGTAGTATGAAAAACGTTCAGAAGGGTTGAGATGGTTTGGTCGTGTAGAAAGAATAGAGAAAAATAAATTAGAAATGAATAATTATAGGGTGGATGGAAAGAAGCGTGAGGGAACATCAGAGGAAGGCCTAGAGCAAGGGTTCTTAACTGGGGGTATCCATATCCCTTGTGGGCATGGAACTCTATCTATGAACAATTTTTAAAAGTTGTTAGAATAAATTAGCATCGTTTCCTAGCTGTCCATATGTAAAGTCAAACCAAGCTGTTGACATATTTCGAAGTCATACTGGTAGTTCCTAATAGGACTGGTGGTGGTGATTTTGACAGTCTGGCAAAGGGAATGTAGGGATAAATTGGGCAATCCCTTGGGGGTCCGTTACAAAAAAGTTACGTACCCCTGCTCTAGAGTGTAAAAAGAGAGATTTCAAGAGATAGGCTCTTAAATATTGGTAAGCATTATGCCTTTAGTCAGAATTAGAGAGAGGTCTGTTTGATTTACTATTGGTTTGAGCATGGTACTGTCTATGAAATTATCGAAGGAAATAGCTGTAGTTGTGTGTTGGAGATGGGAAGTAAAATTTTTTTTTTTTTTTTTTTTTTCAACAAGTCGGTCGTCTCCCACCGAGGCAGGGTGAAAAGGAAGTAAAATGCCTGTATTTAATCTAGTGCAGAAGCTGCAGTTCAGTTATCCAGTGTTAGATCATGATGTTTCTGGTATTCTGGAAATACAACTAGGGGGCAAATGATAGTGAATATGTTTTTTTGTTGGGCCACCCTGTTTTACTAGAAAGCAGCTGATATTTAAAAATAAGCATTTACTATCACAAGCAGTAAACAGTGCCTATGACTTGCTGTTTTTGCCTTCATTGCCTGGTGCAGTTGTGCAGTTGTCTGTTTTGCTTCTGCATTATAGAATGCTAAAGTATTGTCCAAACTAAGTGTTTTCTCCAGTAAAGGTGATACTTTTATACTTTACGTTGTATTTTGGGAACATTGATTTTATTCTTAATATGCACTTTTTTTATTTTATTGACCTGTGTTTTGTCTGTGTGGATGCTGTCGTTATGGTGTTGGTGTTGGGTGGGGTTCAGACTGTGGCGATAACCCAGTACTTGGCCCCGCAACAGACGACGACTCGGTTATCATTGGTGCCTGGTTTGAGGAGCCCACTACACCTGGTGAAGGAGGCGACGACCCAGTCTCAGGAGGAGGCCAAGGCAATAGTGATTCGTCGTCGTCCCCGGATGACTCTCAGGCAAAGACCCCACACCGCCACAACTCGGAGGTCACTACCATTGTGCCAGAGAAGGGGGAGCCTCATGGGGTGAGATCAGATTTAATGCTGCTTAGATTTATTGTTTTTTTTAACACACAGGTCATTTTCCACAGAGGTAGGGTGAATCCCCTGCCCCCCCCAAAAAAACCACTTTCACCATCATTCACTCCATCAGTGTCTTACCAGGGCCATGCTGCAAATATACCCACCCCTCCTTCAGAGTGCAAGCACTAGTGTACTTTCCACCTCCAGGACTCAAGTCTGGCTAACTGGTTTCCCTAAATCCCTTCATATATGTTACTTATACATATACGTATATACATAGGCATTTACATACCTATACATATGTATAGGTATATAAATTTATGTAGTAAGGTATTATAACAGACTTGAGTGAGAACAATGGGAAAGAGTGAGTGGAGTCCACTGTTTTCTTTATTTGATATGCTATTAGAGTGTGAGCAAGTAACATTTATAAAGAGATTCCTGGGGCAAACTAGTTAGCCAGACTTGAGCCATGGAGCTGGGAAGTACAGTGCCTGCACTCTGAAGGAGGGGTGGAGATGTTGCCCTTTGGAAGGTTATCTGAGCTGTGATGGTGTTTCTGGATACTGTGATTGAGTGACAATGAAATTTATTTTTTACATCACATTACCTTGACGGTAGATGGCAAATGTGTTAAAAAAAAAAAAATAATGTCAAATCAGATGTAGATTTTAGCAAATACTGTAAATGCAGCATATAAGGGATAGTATTGAAAGTTCACTCACCAGTCTATAATTTCTTTGTAAGTTATGACACTTTGTATAATAGCACAATCTATATCTTGAACCTGCATGTCATACAAACATCTTCAGATATTATTCTTGTCCTTTGACAGTATGTTTGTCATGTCTTTGTTACTGAAGGTTTTAGTATTCCACATGTTTCAGAAAATTTTAGTGCAGAATATTATAAATTTTCTATTTTTTTAATATTGGTGTTTCTCAACAGTTCATATCACTGGCATCACATATATTTCTGCTGATGAACAGCTACCTTGTTGAGAGTGAGTGTGCTTATGTACAGCAGTACGTACGTGCGGGATTGGCTGAGACACACATGGTTGTCTTGGCTGCAATAATACGTGACCTTGACAGGGAAACTGCCAGGTCAGACTCTGGTAAGTATAATATGGTGGGTTTAGTCAAAATTTACTGACAGTAGACTAAAACCTTGTTTTTTTTTTGTTTTGTTTTTTTCCAACGTCGGCCGTCTCCCACCGAGGCAGGGTGACCCAAAAAAGAAAGAAAATCCCCAAAAAAGAAAATACTTTCATCATCATTCAACACTTTCACCACACTCACACATTATCACTGCTTTTGCAGAGGTGCTCAGGATACAACAGTTTAGAAGCATATACGCATAAAGATACACAACATATCATATAAAACCTTGGTGTCACTTTATAATAATCATCATTACAAGTACTCCTCACTTAACGACCGAGTTCTGTTCCTAAGAGTAGGTCGGTAAGCGAATTGGTCATTAAGCGAGGAGCCGCCCCAGACTGATATTTCAAGCATGCTGTACTGGTAGTAAATTTGTGGCAGCCATCATTAGATAATGTTTAAATGTCACCTTTGCATCATTTATAAAATTTTTAGTACATATTAGAACAAAGCATTAAAAAGTGATAAAGTAAAATACACTTACGTATAGTACACTGGTCGGAGGGCTGGTTGTAAGTCTGAGCAGTCGTTAAACATAGATCGTTAAGTGAGGAGTACCTGTACCTTATTTACTTTCATGGGGTGAAGCCTTGAATTATTGATAAAATGAAATGTGTAAAAACTGGGCACTTTCCACAATGCCCGGTGCAGTCTTTAAATTTGTGTTACCCATTGCAGTACATATTTTATGCAAGGACCTACAGGTCCTTGCACTACAGTATTTAATGTTAAAGAAACAGGAGTTAAAATATAATTTCACAAACAATGTATCTGCATGCAAATTAAACCATTTAAATTAAATTTATTACGTTTCCTCTGACTTTCATAAATTTTACTTTGCTCACACTCCACCAGCACATCAAATCAGAAAAAAAATTTGTCTCCACCTACTATAATCTAACACACATGCTGAATTCAGTAATTTTTATATTTGTCTTATATTAATGCAGTATAGGAATATTATTAAAAATATGGTAAATATTCTTAATAGCAGCTCAGTCTGTCACACCTCTTTTAGCACTTGGAGATTTTTATGTGTTTAACTTTATTATCATTCATTTAATTTGTATGAGATCTTGTATTTGTATTAGCTTAAAGAAAAAAATGTATGGCTAAGTGAAAAATCCAGGCTGTAATGTCCTAGGTGTCCTTTTGTACAGCTCGGAGATTTGTGGTTGTAAAAGTTTCTTCTATACTCCAAGTTACTATTGCTCTTTGCAATACCTGAACATTGTCTAGTAATGCTGTTTTTAATATGCACAGGGTAAGGTACCTAGGGATTGGCAGAGAGCATGCATTGTATAAGGTAAAAGGGATGAAAGAGTGTAAAAATTTTAGGGGAGCAAGTCTGCTGAGTATACCTGGTAAAGTGTATGGTAGTTATTATTGAAAGAAGTAAGAGTAAGACAGAGAGCAGGATAGCAGATGAACAAGGAGGCTTTAGGAAGGGTAGCGGGTATGTAGACCAAGTGTTTGCAGTGAAACATATAGGTGAACAGTATTTAGATAAGGGTAAAGAGGTATTTGTGGCATTTATGGATTTGGAAAAGGCATATGATAGGGTGGATAGGGGCAATGTGGCAGACGTTGCAAATGTATAGAATAGGAGGTAGGTTATTGAAAGCATTGAAAAGTTTTTTCGAGGATAGTAAGGCTCAGGTTAGAGTATATAGGCGAGAGGGAGATGATTTCCCATGGTGATGTCACCACGATTGTTCAGTATATTTATAGACGAAGTTATAAGAGAAGTGAATGCTCGGGTGTTGGCAAGAGGTCTGGGGTTAAAAGATGAAGAATCTAACACAAAGTGGGAGTTGTCAGAGTTGCTCTTTGCTGATGACACTGTGCTTTTGAGAGATTCTGAAGAGAAGTTGCAGAGGTTGGTTGATGAGTTTGGTAGGGTCTGTAAAAGGAAATTAAAAGGGAATATAAGAAAGAGTAATGTGAAGAGGATAAAAAACATTAGGTAATGGAAGATTGGATATCAGATTAGGGGAGAGAGTATGGAGGAGGTGAATGTGTTCAGATATTTGGGAGTGGACGTGTCAGCAGATGGGTCTATGAAGGATGAGGTGAAGCATAGAATTGACGAGGGGGGGAAAAAGGTGAGTGGTGCACTGAGGAGTCTGTGGCGGCAAAGAACTTTATCCATAAAAGCAAAGAGGGGAATGTATGAGAATATAGTTATACAAATGCTCTTGTATGGGTGTGAGGCATGGGTTGTGAATGTTGCAGCAAGGAGAAGGCTGGAGGCAGTGGAGATGTCATGTCTAAGGGCAATGTGTGGTGTGAATATAATGCAGAGAATTCATAGTTTGGAGATTAGGAGGAGGCGTGGGATTACCAAAACTATTATCCAGAGGGCTGAGGAGGGGTTATTGAGATGATTTGGATATGTAGAGAGGATGGAACGAAATAGAATGACTTCGAGAGTGTATAAGTCTAGAGTGGAGGGAAGGCAGGGTATGGGTCTACCAAGGAAAGGTTGGAGGGAGGGGGTAAAGGAGGTTTTGTGTGCGAGGGGCTTAGACTTCCAGCAAGCGTGCATGAGCGTGTTTGATAGCGAATGGAGACAAATGGTTTTTAGGACTTGACGTGCTATTGGAGTGTAAGGAAGGTAACATTTGTGAAGGGATTCAGGGAAACCGGCAGGGCGGACTTGATTCCTGGAGATGGGAATTACAGTGCCAGCACTCTGATGGAGGGGTGTTAATGTTGCAGTCTTATAACTGTAGTGTAAGCATTCTTCTGGCAAGACAGTGATGGAGTGAATGATGATGATGAAAGGTTTTCTTTTTTCCGGCCACCCTACCTTGGTGGGAAATGGCCGATGTGTTAATAAAAAAAAAAAAATTCAATGCTTAGTGCAAAAAAAATTCTGAAGCACTGATATATTAACTTTTATTTGTTTCACGTATTAACATTCTAAAATGATGTTCAAGTGTAGAGGTTCTTAACCAGGGATATGTATACCCCCTGAGGTTACAAGAATGTGAAGCTGAGGGTACAAGACTGAGCTGTACAAAACACTTCCATCCAAGGATCTAGAATGGATATAGACACTACTAGAACAAAATTTAAAGCTTTTATACACAAAAAAAAATTGTTTGGATACATCGCATTTAGAATGGAAATTTTGCTAATTTTCCTTCACTTGATGAGGCTGCTAGTGTGGAAAGAGTATGATCCATCATGACTGCAGTAAAAAAATAATTTATAGGAACTGATTCAGTCTTTTCAAGATTACTTTCACTGTGGAGAGGTTTCTGTGGCTCAGGGATGGATACAGAACCAATTTATTTTCAATCTGGTTTCCATGAATGTTATTGATGTAATTAAAGATGATATTGTTGAGCTGAAAGCTAATGAAGGTTATTGTGCCATTTGCCACCAGCTATTTGTGTAAGAGAGCTTTTTCAACACTTCAGCATGTGATGACATGCATTCAGCTACTTATAAAAAGAACCTCATTTCAATATCATCTCTAAAAAGATTTCATTACCGAAAGAGCCACTAAATAGGACAAATTTTTCTTGTTATAGTTGAATATATAATTAAGGTCTTATTCATAACTGTATCATTGATTTACTTCTTTCTTTCTTTCAACACACCGGCCGTATCCCACCAAGGCAGGATGGCCCAAAAAGAAAAACGGAAGTTTCTCTTTAAAATTTAGTAATTTATACGGGAGAAGGGGTTACTAGCCCCTTGCTCCCGGCATTTTAGTCGCCTCTTACAACACGTATGGCTTACGGAGGAAGAATTCTGTTCCACTTCCCCATGGAGAATTGATTTACTTAACCTGTATATTTGTTTTTACTGTAAAAATAGAGGTTTTCCAAAAGAAATTAGGTCGAGTTCTTAACAAGGTACGAGAAAGGGAAGTCGGCGGGGAAGGTATGGGCACATAAAAGGTTAACAACCACTGTTCTAGACAGTTTAGTAACTAATCTTGTATTGTCTTCACAGGAAGTCTTACTGGATACTTGGGCCCTGTACTTGGCTCTCTCTATGATGAATTCTCATATGCCCTGTATCGCTACACTCACAATGTGATTGCGTCAGGGTTATTGAGTGAGACCTTGCAGAACACGCTTCTTGGCCAACTTGGTGTTTCTCCTTGGACACCAGATGGAGACTGGCCTTTACAGGTTCTGCCACGCACTCTCACAGTCCTGGCTCAGGTTAGTATAATTCTCTACTAAAAGCATAAATGATTTTTTTCAATGAACTGACTGTATCCCACTGAGGCAGGGTGACCTAAAAAGAAAAATGAAAGTTTTTCTCTTTTAGTGATAAAAATAAATATTGTTTAGTTTTGCTGCTTAAGAAGCAACCAAGTAATTAACATATTTTTTTATATTACGTACTCTTCTCTTTTGGTAATACGTACTGTCGTTGATTTAAAAGACTGCAAATAATACGATAAATCTCTCGTATTACTGCAGGTTCTCTTGTTACGTCAGCGTCGAGACAAGGATGAACTAAAGTGTGATTCCGACACAGCCTGTGTTCTAATTTGGCACCGTGTTATCACCACCTTAACCAAGTCTGTCACCAATTTGCCTGCTCCAGACGCGGAGACTGAAGGTAAAGATACTTTTTTGTGAAGTGCTAAACCCAGCATAATGTATGAAGGTGACAGTCATTTATCTGATAGTAAAACGGGCATGCTACCTACTTGTATTCACCTAGCTATTCCAATTTTTTTTATTACCCATTTTTACCAACATTAATTACTCATGGATTTTTAGGCTATTCAGATTATTTACAAGCTCTTGTACAATTTGTTAATCAAAACAGAACTGACAGCAGTTGAATTCTATTGAGAACATACCAATTAGTTTTCATTTATTAATACGTACATCTGAAAATGAAACGTAAAGGAAGAAATTAAATAATTAGTGGTGTACATTAAGTTGTTCAATATTTTTTTTAAATTTTGCTCATTACCTTACTTTATATTCACAAAAAAGTTGATGAATTTTGGGACAAAATATACCAGTTTTTACTCCCATTGTTAGATTTGTATACTATATATCTTGTATAATAATAACAGTAATAATTAAATTACAATATTATATATTAGTTTACCTAATATATGCCTCTACATTAAATAATGGATTTGTACAGTAGTGAGATACCATAACTACTTTTCAGACCTGAATGTGGAGCATGCCCAGCTCCTGTTATTCCTTTTCCACTCCCTACAACTAATGCAGAAGAAGAGTGTGCTGCTGAATGTTGCCTCGGCTGTAGTGAATGTTGCAGCGGTGATCAGTACACCCATGAGGGACACACAGGTTCTTCACCTGGCTCGCCTCCTCCTCATATTTGACTATCTGATGAAGAACCTATATGAAGCACCACAAGTTTTGATAGAACAGGTTTGTTCTGCTACAATGGGGAACCTTTAGCTTAGTCTGGTATTGAGGGAACTTTGTCTTGGGCTGGTACTGGAGGGACCTTCCTCATGGACTGGTATTGAGGGACCTTACCCTTGGCCTGGTATCACGGGGCTTTACCTTTGTGCATGTGGCATAATCTCTACTGTTCCCAGTTGAACAAATCATGTTTGCCATATGGAAATAAGAGTTGAAACTGAAAAATTTTCATGGCAGTTGAACCATTTTTTTTTTTAAGTGTATAGTATATTCTAATGGAAGTCTTGTTTTAGGATTACAGCATTTTCATTATTGGAACTACTGGGTATAGCATTCCTGAATAAAGTAGAAGTAGAATTAAATTAGTAACTCAAATAAATTTGTGAAGAGATACAAACTCTGAAAATGATTGTTAATCTTAATGAAGACCCTTTTTTTTTAAAAATGGTACTTCATATAACTGCAAGAAAGGACAGGCAATACCTCCAGTTACCCTAATGATATACATGTTTTTTCCAATAGGTCCAGTGGAACCTTTTCAAACCTATTTCTCATCAGTGTGATACCCAGACTTCAGGAAAGGATACAGGAAATGGTTCGGGAGGAAAAATGTACCATGTATGGCGTGATCTGGAAGACAACTACCGGAAAAATTACTCTCATGAGGACACGGCAGTACGACCCAGGTTCTACACACTCACTCCTGCTGAGACTAATACCCAAGACACCCCTAAACTGGATGGGCTGGTAAGATAAACTATTATATTCTTTAGTAGTGGGGTTAGAATCCTTCCTCCATAAGCCATGTGTGTTGCAAGAGGTGACTAGAATGCCAGGAGCATTCTAGTCACCTTTTGTAGTTGGTGGGAGACTCTCTTTGTGTTAAAAAAAAAAATTGTGTATATTCAGCCCTTGTATAATGCAGATTCTTACAGTGGGAATTTGCCATTGCACAGATTGCTCAAGGCATAAAATTTTAAACTCGATGTAATGCACATAAACTAATTTTTTGCTGTTTTCTAGGCTTGCAGTTTCATCCTAGCCACACCAGACACACTCAAGTATGGTGCATTATATGACACTCTTGTCAGTCTTTTGGGAATAGGCTGCCAGAATGACCCAAGCTTACGAAGTGCTAATGATGCCCAGCTGACTTATCTGGGACTCTGTGGTGTGCAGTATGCGTTCTCTTTGGCCTACCGACTCCTCCTCACAATGCCACCTTCAGTTTCTGCTCTAGAAGCTATGGCAACCACCGAGACCAAACTTGAGGGATCTCATCTGCTTCATGCACTCTTATGGGGCCCTCGTGCTTCACACAAAATATTCAATGGATGGATAAAGGTATGACAAAATACAGTTTTTACTATTTTTAAAACTAAACTGGCAAAAGCTAATACTAGCAAACTTCAGAATGAAAGGTAGGGGAGTAAAGGAAGGTAATGTATTCAGATGTTGTATTTAAGGATAGATGTATCAGTAGATAGTTCAGTGAGTGATGAGGCAAATTAAATCATAGAGGGAAAGCAGCAATAAATGACCCTTGTGGGTTTAATGCATAATTTTTTTTTTTTCACCCCCAACAAGTCTGCCGTCTCCCACTGAGGCAGGTTGACCCGAAAAAGAAAGAAAATCCCAAAAAAGAAAGTACTTTCATCAACTTTCAACACTTTCACCTCACTCATACATAATTGCTGTCTTTGTAGAGGCTCTCAGATATGACAGTTTAGAAGTCCTTCCAAGCTGTCAATATCCCACTCTTATCTAACATGCTCACAGACGCTTGCTGGAAGTCCAAGCCCCTTGCCCACAAAACCTTCTTTACCCCCTCCAACGATGACCCCTACCCCTCCTTCCTTTCCCTACAGATTTATACACCCTCTAATTCATTCTACTTTGATCCATTCTCTCAAAATGACCAAACCACCTCAACAATCTCTCTTCACCCCTCTGACTAATACTTTTAGTAACTCCACACCTCCTAATTTCCACACTCCAGATTCTCTGCATAATATTTACACCACACATTGCCCTTAGACAGGACATCTCCAGTGCCTCTAGCCACCTCCTTGCTGCAGCATTGACAACCCAAGCCTCATACCCATATAAGAGTGTTGGTACCACTATACTTATGTACATTCTTTGCCTCCATAGGTAATGTTTTTTGTCTCCACAGACACCTCAACGCACCATTCGCCTTTTTTCCTGCATCAGTTCTATTGTTAACCTCATGGTTCATAAACCCATCTGCTGACAAGTCAACTCCCAGTAAAAATAATTATTGGGATTTGAAGCATAGTCTTAATACCACAGTAAAGATTTTGTTACTTTGAATTTTGCCTTAATAGAAAATTCAGAAAAATTACTACTGTTGATACCAAGTCTTCCAGTCTGGGGATGACTAAGTATTGAGAACATGGTTGGAACTTGCTCATCAGAATGAGTATCTAGTAAATAAATGATACAAACTGAAGTTACACAGTTGAGACAGACTTAATACAGGAGTTTCAAAGTAAGTGGTGGAAATTATTGGGATAGGATTAAAAGCTATGATATTGCCTCTCCCTACAAATATCAAGTAGGGTGGAAGGTCAGTAGACAGGAAAAAATATAATGGTGTGAATATATATCACTGTTGCCAAAACACACTGGTGAAGCCATAAAATGATCCAATAGTCTTAGGTGTGTTAGGTAAAAGAACATGTGCAATTGATGCGACATTTTATTTTGGCAACGTTTTGCTCTCCAGGAGCTTCGTCAAACTCTGGAGAGCAAAATATTGCCACAATTCAATGTTGCGTTAGTTGCACTTGTCCTTTAACCTAACATATTGTCGACAGTTCTATCAACAGTATTACAGTTTTAGGTTTGAGGGAATTCCTTTTCAGATTGTTTGAAAAAATCTAATACAATATTTAAAAGTGGGTTTTGATGGCAGGATGAAGTAAAGGGTGGAAGATTCAACAGTTTATACTTGTATGCAGTATTTATCTTCGATTTCAGGATGGACTAGTACGCCAAAGCTTGACCACTCAGAAAGCAGATGCCTTATTGAAATCTGTTGCTAAAACCATGTGCAATCTGAAACATGATCTTAAGGTTGCCAATCACCTCATCACTTCCTTGAGTAAGGTAAGTTTAAAAAATAGGGCATATATTTGCAGATGCATGTGTGTGCTCATGAAAAAGGCCTTGCAAAACTAAAAGCACTATCTGAATGGTTTTGTGTGTGTGTGTGTGTGTGTGTGTGTGTGTGTGTGTGTGTGTGTGTGTGTGACTTGACTTAACATAAGAAAGAAGGAACACTGCAACAGGCCTACTGGTCTATGCGAGGCAGGTCCAGTTCTCCCACTGGCTTAAGCCAGTGCCTTGACCTAGTGAGGTCAGACATGTCGCTTAAGGGAGGAGCATTTGACCTAGTAGCACAAGCTAGTCAGGTCCAACCCACACCTACTCGCGTATTTATCCAATCTATTTTTAAAACTAAACGACGTTTTAGCGTCTGTGACGGTATTCGGGAGTTTGTTCCACTTATCCACAGCTCTGTTACCAAACCAGTGCTTTCCTGTATAGTTCCTGAATCTGAATTTTTCCAATTTAAAGCCATTGCTGCCAGTCCTGTCTGTTAGATATTTTTAGCACGTTGTTTACATCCCCTTTATTAATTAAGAACATAAATGAGGAACACTGCAACAGGCCTACTAGCCCAAACTTGGCAGGTCCATGTCAGAACCAACCCACCAACAAAAATATTTGCCCAACCCATCCCCAGAGCCACCCAAGCAACAAGCCCCAACAACCCCTTCTTCCCATCAATGTGCAAGTCCCACTCAAATCCATCCCCTCTCACTCATAGAATACAGAAAGAAGGAACACTGCAGCAAGCCAACTGGCCCACACTAGGCAGGTCCCCCTCAAACCCAGACCCACAAACAAAACCACGTGCTACTCCATCCATGGAATAAGTTCTGATAACCCGGGCACTATTAAAGAGGGTACTGAGTGAGCTGAAATACCTGGTCCATCACCAGGGTACTGAAGCACCTGGTCCATCACCAGGGCACCAAGGGAGCTGAAGCACCTGGTACATCACCAGGACACTGAGGGAGCTGAATCACCAGGGCACCAAGGGAGCTGAAGCACCTGGTTCATCACCAGGGCACCAAGGGAGCTGAAGCACCTTGTCCATCACCAGGGCACCGAGGGAGCTGAAGCACCTGGTCCGTCACCAGGGCACCGAGGGAGCTGAAGCACCTGGTCCATCACCAGGGCACCGAGGGAGATGAAGCACCTGGTCCATCACCAGGGCACCGAGGGAGCTGAAGCACATGGTCCATCGCCAGGGCACCGAGGGAGCTGAAGCACCTGGTCCATCGCCAGAGCATCGAGGGAGATGAAGCACCTGGTCCATCGCCAGAGCACCGAGGGAGCTGAAGCACCTGGTCCATCGCCAGGGCACCGAGGGAGCTGAAGCACCTGGTCCATCGCCAGGGCACCGAGGGAGCTGAAGCACCTGGTCCATCGCCAGGGCACCGAGGGAGCTGAAGCACCTGGTCCATCGCCAGGGCACCGAGGGAGCTGAAGCACCTGGTCCATCGCCAGGGCACCGAGGGAGCTGAAGCACCTGGTCCATCGCCAGGGCACCGAGGGAGCTGAAGCACCTGGTCCATCGCCAGGGCACCGAGGGAGCTGAAGCACCTGGTCCATCGCCAGGGCACCGAGGGAGCTAAAGCACCTGGTCCATCACCAGGGCACCGAGAGAGCTGAAGCCAAAAGCCTGCTCAGCACCAACGCCTCTCACTCATAAGAGCACAAGAAAAAAGAAATATTGCAGCAGGCCAGGTGGCCAACACTAGGCAGGTCCCCCTTAAACCCAAACCCAGACCCACAAACGAAAACACCTGCCCAACCCACATTACACTCCACCCACTTGACTCGACTGACTTTGTCTGTCTGTCTGCGTCTTAATTTGCTATTAACTGATGTAAATAATTTTTGCATTTGAATCTGTGTGAATAAATCTATTTGAATATAGTGTTAATGTGTTGGTATTGCTGGCTCTATATGAGTACAGTACAGAAACGAAGTTAGGATCACTAAGGAAATTGCATTCTAAATGTAGCCAAACATAATACATTAGTTAAAGCAAATTTCCAACTTTGTCCTAAATATTCAGGTGTAAATACATACCTAAATTTTAATTGTAAATAGGTATTTCATTTAAGATTCATATTTTCTAAGTGATTTATTTATTTATGGTAGTCATTTACTTAAGCTGCATTTTAATTGTTTTATTTTCCCAGAGCTATGCTTCAATGGTGGGTTCACCACTTACGAGCTCTGAGCAACTGCCAGCATTCTCTGACCTCTACATGCTGGATACAGTGTTAGCACGTCTTCAAGTGACTCTTGATGATGCTTGTCAGAAGGGTGATGTTGATCTCCGCTCCTGTGAAGGTGCAGATCTTCTCAGAGCTTTGGATATATCTGCAGATCAACTTCCCATTTCTGGTCTTTTGACTTTAATACAAGCTCTAGCTTGTGCTACAAGGTATAGCATTTCCAGCACATTGAATTTTTTTTTTCCATAACACTTCGGTCGTCTCCCACTGAGGCAGGGTGACCCAAAAAGAAAGAAAAATCCAAAAAGAAAGAAAGAAAATTTCATCATTCAACACTTGCACCATCACTCATATAATCACTGTCTTTGCAGAGGCACTCAGATACGACAGTTTATATGTCCCTCCAAACTGCCAGTATCCCAAACCCCTCCTTTAAAGTGCAGGCATTGTACTTCCCAGTTTCCCCGAATCCCTTCACAAAATAGATATAAGACTAATTACTGAAGGGAAGTTTTCCCTTAATCATGTAAAGTGCAATATTTATAAAAATGTAAATTTCTGTAATTTGAGTTGTACAAGTAACATGCTAATATGTATATGTGCACAATATTTTATTGTACAGTATTTGACTTAATTAAACAAACTGAATTATGTTTCAAATCTCTGCAGATGGAGCCTTTTGCAGCAAATGAACAGTGTTCTTGAGGAAGGTAGCAGGTTACCTCCAGAGGCCTTGGATGCCTATTGTTCAGTGTTAGCAGTGTCTGGGGGCCATGTACCTCGTGCAGGTCCACACCCTCCATGCCTTACTCGAGCAGCCCTGCCTGCCCCACTCAAAACTGCACTAGACAACTGGAATGCAAATAACATGACTGATTTTCCAGCAGCACGTGCATGGGTGAGTACTGTAACATCTGTGATGTAAGATGACTAGCTACTATACTGCATTAATCTCTTAAATAACTTGAATGCATACTACTAAAGAATAATTTGAGCCACTTAATTATACAGTACAAGGCTTTAATTTAAAAAATAATTGTATGATGTCCTTTTGACTGTTATATGTTCTCTTTGTGCATTTGATTTTTTGACAAATATGAATTAAGACCACTTCAGTCTCTTCAAGAAGTTAATGTTTTTGAAATTCATTTAGGCCGGTATGAATTAAGACCACTGTCTTTAGGTAGGTACTAAAAATAGAAAACTCAAATAATTTTTTCCTTTTCACCTACTACTGACATATTGTAATGTTTATGACTTTCGTCATTACAGTATTTATATTTCATTATTTATTTGCAATTCAAGTGAGCACAGCAGAGGATAATAAAACAAAACCATGTCACTGTGAGAGGGTAACTTAGTCGCCTCTCCTCTGAACCACACCTTTGTCACTAGCTTCGACTCTTCTTTGCTAACCAAATAAATGTTATCTTATAAATGTACTTCATAGTACTATACAAGTAGCGTTAATGTTGTAAGAGGATACTGTTGAACTGATCATTGTAGGGTGTAGTGATGGAAGCCAGATATTGAGCATATAGCAGTTTCCTTCGTTAGGAGAGAAGTGTTGATATTTGGCACTATTGATTGTGCTCAGCAGTGAATTATGATTGTAATCCCTATAATACTGTTCATTGTTATTTAATTTTAAGCTATCTTCCATTGATTGCAATCATTAGGGCTTGCTCCATCTGCTGAAATGTGCAGCTAAACTTGTATTTTCACTCCCAACTAGGTTTCCCACCAGTCCCTATTTGTATGAGCTGCGTTGGCTCCCTATCAAGGCAAGAATTGAATTTAAACTGTTTATTAACATTCAACTCTACTAAGTTTAATGAACCCAGTGTCTTGCTGATATGCTTGCACCTGCAGGAGTAAGAAAACTCAAAAATCACAATAGATATATCAGTAGCATTACTTGAGCTTGTTTGTGTCTTCATTTTAGACATGTTAATTTTTCTGCTGCTAACATGGGAACACATGTTTAGCTTTCAGTATTAAGGTATCTTCATTGAAACTTGACTCTGATGTTACTTTGTGGGTTCTTCACCAGCATGCAAAAAATCAAAGAGTGGCTACTATTTTAGTTTTTTCACACCAGAAAAAGAAGAAATGGGGTTGATTAAGGGAGGGGCGAGCATAATCACCAACATTTTTTTTTTTTTTATCAGATTTCACTGGGATTTTGACAGTGGATTAAGCAGCTTAAAAAAAACAAACATATAGGCTGTGTTTGTTTTGACTGTTAGCCTTCAAGTTAGAAAAAAAAATATTTTTGGACAATTTTATGGATCCTAGGGCTTTACAATTTCTACTAAATTGGGAAGATGCACAATGCTCTAGTTGACATTAGATGAAAGATAAAGGCTGGGTTAATAATGACCCAGAGCATTTTAGCGATAATGTCAGTAGATTCCATAAAAAAAATGTTGAAATTAGTTTTTTTGCTGTTTTTTAGAGGAAAAAATCATTAACAAAAAGCTGTTCACAATATGGCAAATCTTCTCTGGGTGTTTGTAGAACCATCATTCCTCAGTAACATCTGCAAAAATCATGACAATCCAATGAATATTTAATGAAAAAAATGGATTAGAATGTCAATAACTTACTACCGAGATGTTTTTTATTTTTGTGTGTGTGAAACTTTAGGGAAATCGCACGCCACCGTTCAGCGTGCTACACCACTCTTATCTTCTCTACAGCCTGCCAGCTACTGACGGACTTACTGTATGCTCTCCTCACACTAGCCAGCACACAAGTTGCCATGTAGAGTATTTACAATGAAATAATCATAAAAATCGTAATTTTAGGAGGAAAAAAAAAAGACAACTCCTAATTACCAACATGTATTTTTGCTGACAGCAGAACAAAAAAAAATACGTTTAATGAAAAGCATGACTAGAAATATGATAAACAAGCTGATTACATCAAACTGTTGCCAGAATTTTGCACTATTTTTCAGTAAGAAAACATTTTTTCCATAATTTTTCAATTTTAACCCGTAAATGGTCCAAGCAGATCTACGTTCACATGTGTAGTGCTACAAAAGTAGATCTTTGTTTTTTTTTTTTTTTTTACATATTTTTAAATATAAAAAAAAAATAGATCAAAGTTTTTTTCACATTTTCAAATGTATAAAAAAACAAAAAGAAGATCTACTTTTTTTACATTCAAATGTTGAAAAAACGTATATATACGTTTGGACCGTTTACGGGTTAATATCTTGATCACTGAAAAAAGGCAAAACATAATTGTGAATATAGTAAATATGAAGTGAACAAAGGTAAAGTCAGGCCTGTAAATGCAGCCAACAGGTCAGGGTAGTCAACTCCTACATTTTTTTATTTTTTGGGGTAATTCATTGATGAAAAGCTTAATTGAGAGCAAGGCAATTAAGACCTTAACCAAGATCAAGGTATTTTGTAAACTACAAGTATATCCTTTCAAGGGAGCCCTGATGCTGGTGAGGGGGTTCTTGATCTAAGGCATTGGAGCTTCCATCCCCTCCTTGGATGAAACCTAATTTCCTCCTATTCCCTAGGCACTATATAACCCCTTTTGGGTTTAGTGCTTTGCAGTGATTGTAATAAAAGTAATTAAGAATAGGTTGAATTAATTGGTGATTGCCATATATTGTAAATGTATAATTGTTCTTGTTACAGAGAAACAGCATGAGTGGAGATGTCCTTCCAGGAGAGACTTACGTGTCAGGCGTTGTAATGGGTCATGTGTCAACTCTTTCGGCTCAGCCTGCCTTCACCATCAACTTTTCACTAAAGCACGTCATGCATACCCTTGTCACATTTGCAACAGATCTGGCAGGGTATGTTACACTTCATAGGTGACCACACTCAATACCTTTCTAGTCTAATATCATGTGTTATGGCACAAATGAACTCACGTGGAGAAAATAGAATAAAAAATAAGAGGATTACAATATGTTTCAACCTTTGCTGAAATTCTCTTCGGTGGTCAGTTGAAATATACTGTACTCCTTTATTATCTTTTGTTCTCTTTTCTCCAGGTTGGTTCAGTTGTACAATTGACCAATGTTTATTACACTTACGTGCTTGGATCTTGTGCTATATTCGTTAGTTACTATGGATTAATTTATTCTATGAATGTTACTATTAATTTCATTCCATTGCTGAATAATTAAAAATATTTTATTAAGTTATTTTAGAAATTTCTTCCTTTTTCCTTAACCCTTTCCTCTTTTACCCTTCTCTTCCTATTCCCTCCCCTTCCCCTTTTTTTATTCTCTTTACTTTTGCTGTATTTACCTCCACTCTTCTTTTCCTTCTCCTACTTGCAATATTCCTTCTACCCTTCTCTTATCTTTAAAAAATCTTCACATCTTTACTCTAATTCTGTCTTCCCTCCTATGTCTCTGCTCATTAAACAAAATGCCATACTTCAGCTGGTGCAGTGACGATGAGAAGACTGGAGGGCTTCTGACCAACACCCTTGTAAGCCTGGCTGTTGATGCTACATGTGACCATGTCTCTGAATGCGTGTCGAGTGCAATCGATCGTCTCTTACCTGCTCAAGAAGGCACAGAATCCTCAACATCTCCTGACCCATTCCATCTCACCCTTTACTCTCATTTGCTCACACACGTAGAGTCTCTTTTGCAGACGGCTGCAGCTTGTGATGGGTAAGTTGAAGCGAGTTGCCATGATATTTTCTGTTTTATCAAAGAGGATTTGTGTATAGTATTCTATGAGCCTTTCATGGCAGTGAGCTTTTTTTTTTCTATATATCAGTAGTGTTTAAGAACAGTTTTGTTGTATAATTGTACATTCCTGTTCTTAAAACTGTGCTTAGCCTGCTTCCAGTACTTTTCATCGAGATCATTCCATTTCCTGTCTACTCTGAGAATGAAGAAATATGTTGACATCCCTGTGGCTAACTAAAGCCCTTCAGCTTTGTCACCAAGTACCTGTTTTTCTCCTCTCCCAACAGCCTGTCCCTGTCCACCTTATCATTTCCTATGAGTATTAAGTATATTGTCATACCCCCTGGTTGTTCTGTTCACCAGTGTTGAGATTCAGAGTGAACAGTGTTGAGATTCAGATCCATTAGCCTCTCTTCATAACTGATACCCCCTTTTTACTACTTTTTCTCCAGTTTGTTGACATGTTTTATAAAATAATGCGACTTTGCGGAAGTAGCCGATATTGCTGCCACCAGATCATTGAGGGTGAACTTCATGCCTCTGTATCTTGGTAACTAATGATCGAAAATTTTTGTTTAGTTTTATTACCTACAGAAAATTATTATCTTTAATTCTGTAAGAATTTTTTTTTTTTTTTTTTCAAAAAATTCTTGGACCCTGGTGTACACTTTGAGATTTGACCTCTGGGCCCTGAAAGGGTTAAAATATACCAATGCAGTAAACAGCTGTGTTTGTTATGATTATGTCAGCATGCCACATTGACCCAGTGACTGCTTTCGATAGAGTTCCACACCAGAGGCTATTGAGGAAACTTAAGGCACACGGGATAGGAGAAATTTTTTCCTGGGTAGAGGCATGGCTGACAAATAGACAGCAGAGTGTTTGCATAAATGGGGAGAAATCAGAATGGGGGCACGTCACAAGTGGTGCTCCTCAGGGATCAGTGTTGGGCCCGTTGTTCACAATTTACATAAACGACATAGATGAGGGAATAAATAGAGACGAGCAAATTTTCTGATGACGCCAAAATAGGCCGTCCAATTCATTCTAATGAGGACACTAGAGCACTCCAGGATGATTTGAATAGACTGATGCAATGGTCGGAGAAGTGGCAGATGTAGTTTAATATAGACAAATGCAAAGTTCTAAATGTTGGACAGGTAAATAACCATGCCACATATAAACTAAATAATATTTTTATTTATTATCACACTGGCCGATTCCCACCAAGGCAGGGTGGCCCGAAAAAGAAAAAATTTCACCATCATTCAATCCATCACTGTCTTGCCAGAAGGGTGCTCTACACTACAGTTTTTAAACTGCAACATTAACACCCCTCCTTCAGAGTGCAGGCACTGTACTTCACATCTCCAGGACTCAAGTCCGGCCTGCCGGTTTCCCTGAACCCCTTCATAAATGTTGCTTTGCTCACACTCCAACAGCACGTCAAGTATTAAAAACCATTTGTCTCCATTCACTTCTATCAAACACGCTCACGCATGCCTGCTGGAAGTCCAAGCCCCTTGCACACAAAACCTCCTTTACCCCCTCCCTCCAACCTTTCCTAGGCCGACCCCTACCCCGCCTTCCTTCTACTACAGACTGATACACTCTTGAAGTCACTCTGTTTTGCTCCATTCTCTCTACATGTCCGAACCACCTCAACAACCCTTCTTCAACCCTCTGGACAACAGTTTTGGTAATCCCGCACCTCCTAACTTCCAAACTACGAATTCTCTGCATTATATTCACACCACACATTTAGGATTTAGGAGTTCTGGTTAGCAGTAATCTAAAATCAAGACAACAGTGCATTAGTGTTCACAATAAAGCTAACAGAATTCTTGGCTTCATATCTAGAAGTATAAATAATAGAAGTCCTCAGGTTGTTGTTCAACTCTATATATCCTTGATTAGGCTTCATTTAGACTATGCTGCTCAGTTCTGGTCACCTGTGAAGGCTTACTCAGCCCTGTAACAACTTCAGACAGTATTACTCAGGCTGGCTCCTCTTCAGGAAAATTAATGAATAGAAAAAGAAATAATTCACAAAGATGAACACTTAATTATTTATTAAATCAAACATAAAACATGAAAGGTATATCCTATTTGAAAGAAAAATGAAAAATGAAATGAATAAAATAACATTTGAACTCAACGCTAATATCTACAGGGGTGTCTGGTGTTGGTGACACTGTTGTTGAAATCGTAGCCGTTGCTGATGATGGGGTCGGGGGGGGGGGGGGGGTTGCAGGTGTTGGTGACCATCCACTGGCTAGTTCTTCACAGTATACCAGTGAGTAATCTCTCCCGATGACAGGAAAGCAGGTTCTTTACCACTGCAATGATGTGGGGTTATGTCCTGCAATTTCATACAGGTGCACAGGTACTTAAATGCAAAATGGGGAAGTCTCTGGACGTTAGTCCTTCTCCTGTTCTTCTCGTTGATTGACAGGTGACCCTCACTGTCATCCAAGCTGAAAAGATAGACAGGTTACCCACTGCTTAAATGATCACTCTCCATGGCAGTGTACAATACTCAAAAGACATGGTGATTATTACAACAGTCAACCTAGAGCAAGACTGAAAGGACTAAGTTTATTATTGGTCAAAAGTGAAGCTTTTTAACCAATAAATCCACTAGAATACAAGGCAGGCATGTACTTACAGTAGTGTTGGGAGCTGCGAGTCGAGTGATTTACTGTTTGACCAGAGCCCCACACGTCACCTTTCGAGGGGGGGTGGGGTGGAAGAGGGAGGGGAAGGGATAGCAGGAGCTAGACTGACCCTATGTTAACAAGCAGCCGGCAATCAAACTATCACTTTAGGGGTGGGGGAGAAAAGGCGGGAGAAACGGGAGCGTGACTTACCCTACCTTAACTAGTAGCCGGCAATGAAACTATCACTTTCGGGGAGGGGGAAGAATGGCGGGAGCGTGACTTATCCTACCTTAACTAGTAGCCGGTAATGAAACTATTGTTACTATATTGCTACTCCTATCTATTGAACTTTTCCCTCACACTCCCCCATACCAAGACTTATAGTCAAGGAGTATAAGAAGAATAGGCGAGGAAAAAGTTCTAACATGTGGAAGTCGCGTAAGGCAACAAATCTTCTACTGACTGTCACGACTTAACCAGTCAGAGAAATAATTGGATGAACCATTGATATACACAATATGGAACTTAAAAGCCTGGAGTGCCAATGTCCACCTCAAGAGGCGACTGTTGGTTCCCTTAAAAGTTTCTAGGTATATCAAAGGTTTCTGGTCCGTTTCTAAAATGAATTCTTTTCCCAGCAAATAAAACTTAAGTTTGGAGATACCCCACACAAGGGCTAAACATTCCTTTTCTATTGTGGAGTATCTTGTTTCTGCAGGAAGGAGTTTCCGGCTTAGGAAGCCTACAGGGAAGGGAGTACCATCATGGTATTGTAGTAACACCGCACCTAAGCCAGTATTGGAGGCATCAGTTCTCAAACAAAATGTTTTATTAATATCTGGAATCTTAAGTATAGGGTCTTTCGAAAAGATACTTTTAATCTCATTAAACTTTTCCCGAGCTACGTCGGAAAGTTCAAGAGGTTCCTTCACAGACTTTTTAAGGAAGTCCGATAAGATGCCTGTAAGATCTGCAAGATTCGGGATAAACCGTGCATAAAAATTTACAGAACCAAGAAAGCTACGCATGAGCTTCTTGGTTTTGGGGAATTTAAATTCTAATAAAGCTTTGATCTTACTGGGGAGAGGCTGCAGAGAGTTATTAGAAAGTATCAGTCCAAGATATCTAATCTTGTTATACCCAAGGAAGCATTTCTTTGGCTTGGCAGTGAGGCCATTTGAGCGTAACGTACGCAAAACTGATGTTAATGTTTGGATATGTTCGCCCCACGTAGATGTCATTACGTAAATGTTATCAAAATAAACTGAAACATTTGGCATATTACCCAAGACCTTTCTCATCAGTTTCACTTAAGTAGCACAGGCAGTTACCAAACCGAAGGGCATAGTTCTATATTGCATCAGTCCTTGGTGTGTAGGAAAAGCGGTGTACTGCTTAGAAGAAGGATCTAACATTACTTGATAATATGCCTGCGCAATATCAATCTCTGAAAAGAAGGAAGAGTCATAAAATTTGTGTAGATCGCTATCTATTAAGGGCATAGGCTCAGCATCCCACCGAGTTATAGCATTAAGGCCTCTGAAGTCAATAGCAAGTCTATATGAATTATCCTCCTTCTTAACCATGACTACTGGTGAACAATATGCAGATACTGAAGGTTCAATGATCTTTAGTTTTAATAATTTGTCTACCTCTCGGTCAAATGCATCCCTAAGGTGAACTGGAACTGGGTATAATTTCCGTTTGATAGGATTGTCTGTCACTAAGTCAATCTTATGGACTACCGTGGAGGTAACACATGGCATATCAGTAAAGACGTCTGAAAAGTTACTCACACATTGAAGTAGTTTGTCTCTTATGGTCATCCAAAGATTCATTAATATTAATGTTGGTTGCGTCCAAGTGGTCAAGAGTCACCAAGTCATGTAGTTCTTCATCATAGTCTAAGTTAGAGGTGTCAATTACGCACACCTTACATTCTTCAGTTGTCTTATCAAGTTCGTGTGGAAAAACTAAGTCAAAGTTATTAAGGCAGTTAACCGAATTTCTTCGGTAATATTTCTTAAGGATGTTGATATGATAAAGCTTAGGTTTCCCCTTGACTTCTATGAGGTAGTCAACTTTCCCACAAATTTTTAATACCTTATACGGACCTTTCCATGCTACTAATAATTTATTTGACTTAATCGGCAAAAGTACAAGAACTTCATCCCCTACGTTAAAACTTCTCTGACTTTTGGAATCAAAATAGGTTTTGTACTGGTCCATTGACAAACTTAGGTTTTTTGAAACTATGTCAGAGGTCTCCTCAAGTTTGGATCTAAGGTCAAGGAGAAACTGGTAAGAAGACTGAACCTC